GCTAGCGGGCGGGGCCGTCTGTTCCAATAGTGTACCATGCATATCACGGCTTTGCGGGACGAAGGGCTCATCGTCTCCACCCACACTGCCACCATGATTCTCGGAAAGCTGCCGCCTCGGACATCGGTGGACATCATGCTCCGTTCGCCGACTCCGTCCTCCGATCTGGTCTATTTGAAATTCAATGTCGGTCTTTGTTTTACCGAGAAGCAGCGTTTTTCACACTTGGCCTTTTGGGAACGAAGCCATGTGTAGACAATCCTCAGATCAATCGATCTTTACTTTCTGGCTTTGAACATATGCCGTCGATATGATCGGCATCAATGCTTGGCCATTCAATCATCCCCCTTTAGCCCAGTCTCTAGGACATTGGGTGCCACAACTATCTGCCTGAGCCTAATACCGACTGCTCTTGTGGCATTCTTCTCACTCTCATCAATTGTAGCACTTTATGCGAGCAGGCGAGAAGCGAAAGGGGACACTATTTTGTCAGGTGAGAACAAGATCGGACGAAACGCAAATGGAGACAATAGGCAGAACGAATGAATATGCCAGACGCCTAGATCTTTCGTTCAATGTTTCCGAGTTTATAAGGCTTAGGAATTTGCAACATCGAATGTTTGTGGAAACTGTAAAAGGCTGACGACAGCAAGGGAGTTGCATGACAGGAGCTACCTTAGGTAAAGTACGAACGGCTGGCATTTATTTTCAGTTGAGTTGTCAAGTTCATTTGACATCGGCCCCTATTGAAATACAGGTTGAAAAGGGCAATATCCAAAGCAGATTAGACAAAGGACATGTAAGCTTCCAATAGGGAACATTTATGGGGTTTCAATTGAATCGCCTCCATTTCAGGCTGTAAGCATCCGCGTAAATTAAGCAACGTTGTGCGTTTCTAGAAAGTGAATAAGCGAACTACCGTCTCGATCCTATTTATGCCTCAGAAAGATTGTATCATTACAGAGGCCTGGCTACCAATCTTAACGTGCCCACGGACAATGACATCCGTACGGATCACGTTCCCAGAGATTGTCTTCCAGAAGCATTCGCCACTGCGGTAACGGCGGCTCAGGTCCCCAAGACTGCGGTGTGTGATTGAACCACTCGCGTTCCCATTTGTGTCTGTTCCATCCTATGTGCTTCCGAACGATAGCCTCCACATCCCAAGATGAACCTATGTCGAAATTGCATTGCACAATAGATGATCCTCTCGCAATGTCTATCAATGATTGTGGAAACCGTTCGAACATATAACCCCAGTAGCCCGGTCGATCTGCGGGAGCCCTAGACCGCGAGGCCCGCTCAATTTGATGGAAGTCGAACCAACCGTGTCTCAACACGCTTTCACCCTTTCTCTCGAACCATGTAAAATGGCCGAGTATGTCTCGCTCAATAGCTTCTGTCCAAGCTTGCTGCCAAGCAGCATCTCGCTGCACGATTGACTCAAAAATGCGTGAGCATAAATCAGGGCACGGGCTACCGTCGAGAAGGAGTGAGAATGATCCTAGAGGCATGCCCTCTTGTTCGAGCGCAAGAGCCTCTGTGATCCAAGTCGCTACGTTCGCCGTTATCTGGTCCGAATTCAATACACAAGGAGTCCGTCTTGCTGCAATTTGGTTGTGCCAACAGCGCTCATCTGGATGCTCATAGAACATGTCTTCCTGGAAGGCCACGCTCCAGAGATTGACACGACGCTCAACTTGGATCGGATATTGTTGGCAAAATGGAATTAAGCCTCTGCCGTGTTCTTGTGGGTAAAGAACGGCCTCGTGATCTTCGTTAAGGATGATTTTGCGTATGTGTGTACGAAGAGAGTGCGGTATTGACTCTAAGAAATATATGGCCGCTGCAGCTGCAGAGAAACGATATATAGATCAGTCGTCTCTATTTCTGGGGCAAGAAAATTCGACGGGTACCGCTGCTTCCATCGCGTTCATCTGGCTGTCGGATGGGATGGCCCAAGGATCAATATGACTTTTAATAACGTCAAAAGGTGACCATCTGTCGATGTGGCCCCTTAGAAACATGGGGGGAGAAAAGTCGGCAACCAACTTTCTGAAACTTTCGTCCTGTGTCCAGGCTGATTCTAAGACATCTTTGATAAAGCCACGATAGACCGACGGAGCCTCGCCGTAGGGCCCGTGACGCTCCAGACATAGACCAGCTCCTTGCACAGGAGCCCGGGGGCCTTCAGCTTTCATGCGATCCAATAATGGCATGAACTGCGGATAGTTCTTCTGGACTTCTGCGTAGACACGGTCGGGTATGAGATGTCCGTAGGTTTGAAACATCTCGCATCTTACGAAGTCCACGCCGCGGCTCTTGAGCTGTTGGAATTGGCATGCCAAATGGCTGAACTCGACCGAATCCAGGGTCGAAAACGTAATTGAGTTCAGTTTCAGAGCAAGTCCGCCGCGGTCCATCTCGTTGGCTATCTGTTTGCAAGTGCAGACAAGAGAAAGATCGACTTGTTTTTGGCGGGCGCCCTTCAGCTTTCCACGGTGTCGCAAATGTAACCTCCGTCGGCGATGACGTAAAAGCTGTAGATGATGTCTCGAAGCTCCCGGGGAAGCTTGAGAAGGGGAAAAGACTGCATGTCGAATTAATGAGAGTCGCAAGCATACCAATTGTGTTGCTTAAGACTATCCCGAAAGAATGGAAGTCGTCAAAATATTTGGAGGGTAAAGGGTAGCGCAGAATTCACCGGAGCAAGGCACGATCGGAACAAACTTCAGGTACCTTGTCAGCCCGCCCCATTGCTGTCAAAGTTTGTTTGTTCAACTGACGTGTCATCACCTCGGTGTAGGCAGCAAAGAGCCACATAACCGAAGAGGTTCTGGCACAAGACAGCAACTTGATTCCGGTGATCACATCTTTCTTCCCTTCTAACCTTTTTCTTCGCAGTTTGCCGCCTGGAGGCGCACCTTGTTGACCTACCCCAGAGCCGGTGAGATTTTGCGTCGTGCGATATTCTATCCCGAGGACCACCAAAACCCAGGGTCCCCAAGGATACTAGATGCGGACAGCCATTCGAGCGTTTGCAGTATTAAATCCGATCTCCAAGCGGGTATTTCTTTTTCAATTACGGTGGCGCTTTTTGGGTTAGGATGATCCTGACCTTAAAAGACCAGCCTTCCTTCCTCCCACATAATTGCTTCTTCCTTAGGTCCGGTCAGTGGGTTCTCTATCCACTATTTGAACTTGACACGACCGGCTGGTACGAGGAGAGTCAGACTGGTTCCTTCGAAGCTATCATGACAGCGAAGATCTTTCAATTTCTAAATCCTTTCTGAATTGAAAAAGATTTGAACCGTGGAGAATTCTGACTCTGCGCCCAGAGTTTTCGTACGGATAAGCTGGTTTTCAATCCCACTTTTGTCAACGCCCTTCAATAGCCCCTGTCATATTTAGGACATCCGTGCGTACCCATTCCAACCATGTCGGGCGATCAGTGCTAGCCATTGACACGCATCGACTATGACCGCATGGGATCGTGGCGCAGAGATGTTGTAATGTTGAAAACATTCTTTCGTCGTCTGGGTGAAGGATGGAGTCTGAATGTACTCCGTCAAGGAGACAGTCATACGACTTAGCCGCATTTATCAGATGGCCTGTTTTTGTGGAAAAGTCACCGAACCTGCGCATATTGATACAAACCCCAAGAGCCTGGTTGATGGATCATTTCGGCCAACAATTTTTGCTATACCCAGAATCTTGTTGCACTTACGATAGCTACTGTAATTAATAAGAAAATCCTACTCAAACTTCCTGTGCCATCGTTTACGCAACTGCATTGTGGAGAGAACTACAGTAACAAGTCCATGTCTTCACACCTTGAGCATGGCGTCGAGATAGAGGCTGGAATTCGAGGAATGATGTCTCGGCGGATTCGACGGAGTCATCCCCCGGATTACATCCATCTGCCGGGCCTGCAAGGATAACGTTCTCTCCAATTGGTATTGAACGATAATGCCACAAGCTCGATCCGGCCGCAAAGCGCTGATGGCCTACGCAGCTAATGTAATAATGAAAGGGACGGTATCCAACGGTTGCCGGATTTGTCCTTCAAGGGCCTTCTGGCATTCGTTACTACTTGTGGATCTGAGACATTATTGACCCGAGTGAAGGCCGAGCTCAGGCGGCATCTCGCCCCTTGCCTCTGTCTTACCCCGCTTCTCCTCCCAGCTGAGAAACTACCGGTGGGAGTTGTTACCGCAAAAGCGATCTGCTAAGTTGCGTTGGGAGGTTCCGCCTATGATCTTCAGTCTTTTCGCGTTGCGATCGTGGGGAATACCGATGTGCTGTTCATGCGGCTACTATGCCTTACTCCGGTCAATGCATGGATATCGGAAAGGCGAGGCAGAATTCGGTGCCAACCCCTGCGCTATGATATGGAATTCGATAAATATCGATTTTAATTCAGCAGCTCCAGGTGCAAAAGAAAACAGACGTCGATTTGATAAGTGATCTACATCTCAAGGGGTTTCTCTGGTATGGTCGTTTTGAGAACGCCAGTGCTTGGAATGGAGTTAAGTGAGTGAAATAGGAATGGGTGAACAACACTCCTGTTGTAATAGTGCTAGAATGGTACCTCGCACCGGCTTACTGGATGGGTACGGGCGATGGATACCCTCCGCAAATCTTCTGTCACGATGAGCTACAGTCGGTGAGAAGACGCATGCGTCCGTTGACGGAGACGATGATCATGTTCATTCCAAGACATCTCTAGGTGTTGGACCTCCTCGCTGGACCTCCTCGCTGGAATGTCGCTCGAGCATTACCGCATCAAGATGATGCCTCAATAGTGTTACTTTTATCTATTTCGAAATCTATAAAATCTGGCTGTTGCTCCTTCCAGAACCAGATTCTCTTCCTCCTCATCACACAACAATCTCATTCAATCATCTTACACTCTTCTTACAATCACCCAGATCCTTCTTGATCCATCTAATTCACCTTCTTTTCAAGAACACCTTCCCAGAACATCTCTATCTTTCAAAATGCGTTTCTCTGCTGTCACCGTCTCTGCCCTTGCCATGGCTCTCACCGTCGCCGCTGCTCCCGGCAACACTGCCAAGGAGGCCCTCGCCAAGAGAACCGACGATCTTACCGTCGCCGATGCTCAGAACATCTGCGGCAAGGATCTCAGCGTCAACTGCTGCAACCAGGTCGATGCCAGCACCAACAACAATGACAACTCTGGATCTGGTATCCTGTCTGGTATCCTGGGCGGTGTCCTTGGCAACGGTGGCCTGAAGCTCACTGATGGATGCTCCTCCATCGGAGTTGGCAGTGAGCTCTTTGCGAAGCCTGTTACTTGATACATACTGACATCTGTCAGTTGCCAACGACCTCCTGAACAGCCAGTGCAAGCAGAGCGTCGCCTGCTGCAAGACCGACGGCAACACTGTGAGTAGTCACTGTGATATCTATGAGAAACACCATCTGACAAATATTTCCAAGGCTTCCGGTCTCGTTGCTGTTCAGCTCCCTTGCATCCCCATCTCTGGTCTTTTGTAAGATACCAATCGGATACATTCAGATCGCAGCATTGGAAAGAGTGCCAGTACACGGGAACGCATTTGGTTGGAGATATGTTCAGGGGGAAAGAAGTGTGGGCGAGGATCTCGGGTGATATGTAAACTTCAATTCGCGGCTGAAGTCTAGCTTTGCCTGGCTTTTCAATATACTTATGCTTTATCTAAGTCCTTCGTTGCAAGACTTTGGTTTAAAATCAACATTACCATAAATCACAGCCCAGTCGTCTTGCCATTTGAATGACACTGCCACCCTGGTGACGCTATCGGATTCCAATTTCGTGTAATCCATATTCTTTTAGCCTAAAGTTTGGAGCTAAGAAATTAGAAGAAAGTTGATGATACGGTATCGATATTATAGAATCACAGATTTGATGGTGTGCATCCGCGATACCCTGAAGCTTAGATGCTGCCACGTGTGACTGATGCATACAAGCAATGTAAGCCTTTCGATTACCTATCTGCCGCGGTATTTTCCACATCCTCACCAACAAATCATTGCGACAGACTCGGAACAAGCAACTGAGCTTCTTCGCAGGGCATATGCACTGCGTTGTGCTGCTTCAGAAAATACGACTGCCTTCGATTGTTGCAAATCAAATTGATGTCAGTTATGATTGCCAAGATGTCCCGTCGGCCGAGTTGACGTGCCGAAAACTCTATGCGAAGCATGGGTGCCGTCACTTCATAGGATGGATACCTTCATCGTGCATATTTCTATCCATGGATCCGGGACCGTGCGATTGATATTTGACAAGCGAAAAGCACGTGCTGCGTACAAGACGGTATTCTTCATCTAACTCTATTGCATCCAATCGCATCTCTACGCATCCCCAGTTCCGGGATCTTACTTTGTACGGTCTCTGTAGTGAAAGTAGAGAGTTTGGCGTACTCGCCTACAAAATACCTCTACCGCAAAGTATCGCAGACAACCATAACTACCTAGTGGCTTCGATACATTTTTTTGATCACGAATACAAACCTTCACGTCGGGAGGCTCGGGTGGGCCACCTGCTGATGCTGTAGGATATGTTTTGTCGTGAAGACGGAGCGCACATGACTATTTTTCCGGTCCGTTCCCCGGAACGAATCGAAGTGATATAATGACCAGTACTATAAGAAATTTTCTTATCTCGTGTTTAGCACGCTAAACGATTCCAGCTTGGGCATTCTAAAGATCCCCAGCAGTCGTTTGTAACAGAATTTCTGCGAGCCAATTTCAACATGGCGACTTCCACAACTCCATCCGAGTGGCCTTTTCCCTACCTTGCAGTAGGTGTGCTCGCGTTAGTAACATTCTGGATCCTGACTACATTCCGCCGAGTTAAGAGCAGACTTGACTTTATGAAGAACGGCATGTCAACGCTCAAAAAGGAGGTAGAAAGACATCCAAGCCAGCCCTTTCGAATGCCTACGGACCTAGGCGAAGTGACGGTTCTTCCCCCTGACTATGCCGCGTATCTACGTAACCTGACAGATCTAGACTTCCGAGAAGCCATCACAAAGGTAAGGCCTCTGTCACGGGGGAGGATTAGCAGCTAATTGGAGGAGGAATTCCATCGTCATCTGCCAGGCTTTGCTGCCTTTGGAATTGTGAAGCATCCAGCACACATTCTCCAATCAGTGGCACGGAAGCAGTTGACACAACACACGAGTACGTCAGGCTTATTCAGCCTCCAGCCTAGACCCTCTGAAGAGAACCTCCAAGAAACTAATGACAAGCGTATAGACACAATCATCGAACCCCTATCCTCAGAAGCCTCTTTCACAACCGAACTGATTTTCGGCAGTCGTCCTGGTAAGATGCCGTTCCCCTTGCGATACGAAGCCTGTCATCTGATGACCTGTCAGGATGGAAGGAGATGCCAGCTAAGGACGCGTTGCTGGAGCTCGTTGCTCGCCTATCTTCGCGAGTGTTCCTTGGGTCCGACATTTGCCGCAACAAGAAATGGCTTAGAATTACCAAGGAGTTCACAACAACCAGCTTTGCCGCTGCAGCCAAGCTCAACATGTTGCCATCCGTCCTCAGACCGCTGGCCAACTTGCTCGATCCATCTTGCCAACAGGTACGGGCCTTCATCGCAGAGGCTAAGGAAATACTATTTCCCGTTATCAAAAGCCGTCGCAAGGTCAAAGAGGCGGCCAAATTAGCCGGCAAGCCGGTGCCTGTATTCAACGACACCATCGAGTGGGCCGAGGCGGAGTCACAGGGCACGAAGTATGACCCGATTGCGTTTCAGTTGATGATTTCGTTCGTCGCGATACACACCACATATGACCTGTTGGGTCGGGTTCTATTACTCTTAGCTGAGCATCAGGAGACCATCAAGCCTCTGCGCCAGGAGATGATTGAGGTCTTGCAAGCTGAAGGCTGGTCGAAGACAGCACTAAACCACATGAAACTGTTGGACAGCACCATCAAAGAATCTCAGAGAATCTCGCCAACCTCTTTGCGTAAGTTGATCCACGGGAAAGCCATATAGCATCCGGTTCTAACCAAGTTGACTAGTAACCCTCCGGCGGATCGCGGTCAACGACGTCACACTCCCCGACGGCACCAGAATTCGAAGAGGCGAACGCCTGTGCACCCACTGCTGTAACATGATGGAGCCCGAGGTCTACCCTGATCCCGACAGGTTCGACATATCCCGCTTCAAGCGACTTCGAGAACAAGCCGGGGGCGAGAGCAAAGCCCAGCTCATCACCCTAACTCCGGAGCATCTCGGCTTCGGCTACGGAGTGTACTCTTGTCCGGGACGTTTCTTCGCTGGACACGAAATCAAGATAGCCTTATGCCATTTGCTTCTGAAGTACGATTGGAAATTGGGGGATGAACGCGGGTTCAAGCCAACCATCATTGGCGTCAACTCGTTTATTGATCCTAGCATGTCGATCGTGTTCAAGAGACGCAAGGAGGAGATTGACTTGGACGCCTTGCGCTTTGATGAAGGTGTTTCGTTCGATAATGATTGAATCGAGTCTCTCAACTGGTCGCTATCTAGAACCAAATAAGAAGTACCTTTGTACGATATTGCCCAACGCTGTTTCCGTCGAACGCATGTTTTATGGTTTCAATCTAGCTGCAGTTTTCCAACAACATGCTTTGCGTGCGGCGTCTTTCGCTTCTTTTCCTCTTCGCGTTCTACCATCTATCATGTGTAGGTGCTCGTCTCAGTCACATGACGAGCTGCGACTGCTCCCGGCGCTGGGTTCTGGCATCCGTACCACCCTCCCTCGTCTTTCATCAACTGTCATCTTGATGATGTCAAAGATTCGTTCTCGCTTGCTGTTCTTGCCGTTCTTGCCGAATACTGCCCACGGCGTCAGGAAATTGTATCCATCAATCGGAGTCGACATCAAATGTAGCATCTCTCGCATGCCGTCCGTGGATGAAAGCTACATGTGGTCCTCAGGGCTGAGATTGAGTTTGGGCTCGTCCTGGACGAGCGATATCCTCACAAATTCGAGGAAAGAAGCTACAATACCCGCAGCAATCCCTGCCGCAAATGTGTTGCCATTGACTAGTTTCTTTCCTGTGTCTGCATTTGTCCATGGGGCTTTTAATCCCGCCCCAACCACGGAGAAGTTGTAGTCGCCAGCTTTGGGGGCCGGAGCAAGACCGCAATGTCTACCCTGGCCATCAACCGCATGTATTGCGATAACATGGGGGCTGGTGGCCGGATATCCTCTCATCGAGTTGAAACCATTAGCTGTAGCAGCAGCAATCACGATCCTTTTCTTATTCATTTTACGAGTCTCAGCCAGGGGCTTCATCATCTTACGGTTGACCGACCTGAAACCAAAGGGCAGGACAATGATGTCAACATCCCAGGACTCAATGGCGTACGCAATGGCCTGCATGGTTAGCATTTGTAGAAGAATGACTGATACTGACTGACCTCAACAATCCATTCTGCATCTTGTGAGTGGACTCGGGGGTCATCCGTCACTTTGGCGACATAGATTTTCGTTTTCGGGCCGTATTGGTGGATGAGAGATGCCAATGTTGACCCCCAATGTAAGCCCTTTTCCAAACGAGTCTCATTTGCGAAGTTGCGCGTGCCGATTATGTGTTGGTCCAGATCTGTACCACTTGCCCGCAGCTTTGCGCTATCAATGCCTTGTCCGAGAACAGCAACCTTGATAGCCTCTGTGTCATCGACTTCTTTCCTGTCTGCAGTGTTTTTCGGAGACAGATATCTCTCGAGAAAACTTTCATAGGCAATCTTATACTGTTCAGCAGGTCCTCTCATCCTGTGTCGCGTTAGCCATTGCAAAGGCAGACTCTTCAATAAGCCTACATTTCATCATTGACCCAGTTCCTTGGTCCCCCGATGTAGCCCATTTCTTTGCTCTCGCTGTGAGCGTGAAACTCTCTGACCACCAATTCGTGGCCATTGTGAATTGCCCTATCGAGCGGCGTTCCGTGAGCACTGTCACCTTTCTCGGGCCTCGCGCCTTGTTCGAGCAACGCCATCACAACTAGCTCGTGTCCATTATTCGCCGCATGCCAGAGCGGGGTTCTCCCACGGGAATCCGTGACATTCGGATTCACCTCTCCGAATTCGAGAAGCACCCTGACGACTTGCTCGTGGCCATTCTCGGAAGCCTGGCACAGCGGTGTAGTCCCTGATGTACCTGCCACGCTGGGGTCTGCTCCATGCTGCAGCAAGAGCCTGGCGATGTTATCGCGACCCTTTGATGCTGCTTGAAGAAGAGGGCCAGCCAGGGAAGGGAGGTTAGATCCATGGCGGTCGGTGATCTGGCCAAGTGCCTCGCTTACCACCCCTTCATGGCCGATCCCAGCAGCAAACCACAACGGCGTCCGCTGGGCATCAAATTCTCGGCGCACTATTGGAGGCAGAACGCAAAGCAGGTCGGAAGTCGTAGGTAGGGTAAAGACGTCGATTTCGGACTGAGCCGAAGGGGATGATAGGTGCAGCGGTTCTCCGCTGTACCATCCAAATAGCTGATAAGATGCACCCTCGGGAACTTCACTGTTTCCCGTTGTCGTCGATGGATCCGCGTTAATGAGCTTACCTTGGTCGTTGAGCCAAAATGTAGAAGGGCAAAAGTCATTATTCAGCCCTTTCAAAGTGTGCTTCATAGGGCGTCCAGCAGCACTTCTGAACCATTTGTAGTAGCCCACTTCTTCCGGGTGTTTGACACTCGACACTATCCTTCTTCGCGTTGCGTTGAGCTGAGAGTGATGTCTTGCTGACTCTGAAATCAGAGACCACGTCCATAGTCCTAGCATAGCCTCCACGTTCTCTTTGCCTTCGAGCCTCCAACGCGACTCTTTACCACCACGGCGAAGGTGAAGTACGACCTCGGCAATCTGATCTCCAGCACGAGGAGAGACACCGCAGTTCATGGCGCAATACAAGTCGTTGTGTTTCGAACGCCATTCCTCCATGATGATCGCCGTCGACGACGAACAGACGCTGTTGGCAACTGACTCAAGCGCCAGGACAAGCTGCCTTGCCGTTTCTCGCACGGCAACCATTTCATTGGAGAAGTGACGCGTCAAAACAGCCAGATCAAGTTTCGCAGTCGTCGGTTCGGTGAGTCGGGTCAGGGTTCGACGGTAGGCCAGAATCCTGTTGGCCCAGTCCACCCTGCCTTGAGGTTCTGCTGATTCAGAAGGCTTGAGTCCAATCTCACGAGAATTTGCTTCCGATGGGTGGTGTGTGATTCTCTCACCGGCTGTCGTAGCACCGAAAAACAACCACGAGTAGGACCGTCGTTCGCTGTTGGTTTCATCCAGCATCGGGGCATTCTCAATGTCCTTCTCACGAGGCCATGGAATATCCAAGCCACAGAGCGGCCACGTTCGCCCGCCCTTTTCCATGCTTGGAACTCTATGGTCCATGTCGTGGCCTTCTCTGACCTCCTCCCGACCTATGTGTAGGGCCAGCCAGTCCAGCTCATGGCCCTTCAGAGTATCTGATGAGATCATCATTGCACTGATTTCTTGCTCCGAAAGTCGGTTGCCCTGCGAATCCAGTCTCTGTGTACGAAGACCAGCCCTGAGCATGCTCATGATCAGGGCTGCCCCGAGCTGGGCCAACGAGATCGGCGAGTGAGTCCCGCGGAGGCCGACAAATTGTAGAGCAAAGCCAGAAACGCTGGACCCGACGACGAGCCATACAGAAAGCTCTGAAGGGGCGCTCTGCTTCTTCCGTGAGGTAATGTGTCGGTTGAGGGAGCCGACGCCCCCCACGTCCGCGTAGCAGAATGGTTCAAATGTCTGATCACCGTGTACTTGGGCCGGTTGCAACCAGTACAGAGAGGATCTCTCTAATAGATTCCGTTCGCGTTGGTAAATCTCTTCCTCAGTGCTCTCCCCCACCAGAACAGCGCAGAAGAACACTCCCCCGCAAACCAGAACGGTTCCCACAATGACCATCGGACAAGCATATGATGATGGCTGCTCTCCATCTTTTTCCAGCCGAAGGTAGTAGGTTGCAGTGGCTGCATAGACCAACACACCTACTTGCAGCGCAAACCCAATTATTCCCACGAGCCTGAACCACCAATCATCCAAGCGCTTGATGCTGACATTGTGGGAAAGATTCGGCCCATACTCTTCAGATGTCTTTGGCCCATCATCCTTGGACGGCTCTGTGCCCTCGCAATGGCCTCCACTCTTGACGGTGATTTTCATTCCTCACGTAGTCGGCGAAGGTGTAGATGCCCGCCGACCCTCCCTCCCTGGTAAACTCTTCGTCAGCGACGTTCCGGTCGAGCACAACCTCAAGGATCTTCGGACGACCGATAATGCGCTCGATGCCACCGCCATTGTACAGTTCGCACACGTTCCTGCTCGTGGACGACAGCAGCTCGGCCTCCACGTTGCCCGCTGCCTCCTTTGCTCTGCCGATGAAGGCCTTCAGGGAAGGGCTGCCGCAGACGCGGATCGCGGACACCAGCGCCGTGAGGATGCCGATGGGCGCCATGCCGAAAATGAAGTAGTCCAGCCACGTGATGCTCTCGCTGAGGTATTGCTTCGTCGCCTGCTCTCCGGAGAGGGATATTATGGGAGCGAGGTCCGAGGCAAGATTATTGGTGAAGTCGTCCCAGCCATCCGCCGCGACACCGCCCGAGAGACATAGTGCGATGAGGCTGCAATATGGGCTGAGAAACATCTCTGGCTTGGCTCCCTTGTTTGGTGGTGTTATTTGATTCAGTTAAACGTGAAGAAGACTGGGAATATTACAGCAGCGACGTGGCGAGTCCCCGCTCCGGAGAGGATTTTCGTGTCATCGCAGCGTGACAGCTGAATCAAGGAGCTGACTTGCATGGTAATGATTGGATCGACATCAAATTGATAGTCTCAAGCTCTTGCCGTTGGCGGTTGTCGGCATTAGTCTCAACTGAAACAGCCAATCAGGGTCAGCAGGCAGATCACGCAGAAACATTACTATCCATGAATGCTTGCAGTGTTAATTTCAGCAGTGAAGCAAAACTGGACTTAATACTGTCTCTATAAGAAGCTGACGTGAGAGCTTGGGAGCACTTGGGGACGTATAACTGCAAAAGTCAAGGGAGAAGTCGACAGTCGCAGATGTGATCTGAATGCGTCAACGGCAGGGCCGACCTCAAAAAGCAAAAAGAGAACGCGCAATCGCGGACGGGAATTGAGCCCGACGTGGGGGTCGAACCCACAACCTTGAGATTAAGAGTCTCACGCTCTACCGATTGAGCTAGCCGGGCAGATCTGGTGATCTGCCATTTGTTGTTGCAGTTGGGCCAGGTTGAGTCATTTAAGTAGCATGAGCGGGCTACGATGCGAAGAGATTTCCATGTGGGTGGGGCCGCTATGGATCCCGGCCGCATCGGCAGACGGCCGGTGCAGGGGGTCCGGGCATCGGATAGGATCATGCCGACGTTGGCCTTATTCACAAGCGGCCAGCAACGATCCGTTGCACACCTTTCGAACGATGAGAATTCACGATTTTGCGACGTGTGAAGTTTTCTGTCTGATATTTGGAACGTCCAGAGTAGGTTTCTCTAAGACCGTGTTGATAACCTGACTTGCGATTTGTTCGAACGCGGTGCTAGCTTCTAAACCTTTCTCTGACTTGGACTACCACTAATTTGAATGGTCTGGGCGCGTTCTATAATCGACAGGCAGAACATTACATGTGGATCCTAGTGTTAGGCTTCTCAGCTGTACGCACGACGATCGAGAAAATTACCAGATCTCGCTGGCAATTGTCAGAACGCACCATAGTGCAGTCATATGGTCCTCAAGACCGTCAAGCTTGGGGTCCCATGAGCAGTCAGATGAATGATCATTGAGGCGTAGATTTTAATGATTTATGGTAAGGAGTGTGACTAGTTTCCCAAAGATTCGCCCTAAACTATCGTTGCATTGGGTGGTGCCTCGGACCTTCGTGATGTAAGTGCGAGGCCCTCGCATACAACCTCACCAGTTCCCTGCACGTCATCCGTCAATCTCAACCCCAGAACCCAATAGCCTGGCCTCCCAAAGACTGCTGCCCCGCGGTATTTGCATGACAACCGTCCGCAACTTCCCCATTGTGCAGGCGGAACGTCCCTCCGTACGTGGCATTCAGCGACGCATCCTCACTAGCCCTCTTGGCCAGACTATCAGTCAACTCCGGGCCTCCCTGCCCCGCGAGGAAGCACGTCTGCCCAGCGTCGTACAGTGGCTGGCCCGTGATGAAGATCTCCGCCCCGGGAGCGGCGTGCTGGCGCGCGTTGGCGATGAGCTTCTTGACCTCGTCGTAGGTGGCGCCGTTCTGCGAGAAGATGCAAATCTGCACCCAGACAGCGGAGGGCTTGCCGTTCTGCGCGGCCTGTCGGTCGAAGGATTGCCAGGAGGCCGAGTTGGTGTCGGTCCAGGACTGGACGACGGCGCCACCGGTGCCGTAGGGTCCCCACATCCGGGTGCCGCCGACGGCCATGTAGCCCTGGGCAACATTTTCGGCCATGGAGCAGCCGATGAAGCCCATTGAGCGGACAGCTTGGGCGTCGACGCCGGTGAGGAGAGCCAGGGCTGGGAAGAAGCCGAGGATGATGTTGGAGATAATAAGCTGCATGGTTGCGGTGGCTGGAAACTTGGTGATGGAAGTCAGTGAGAAAGCTTGTAGTCGGGAGCGTGTCGATGTCTGGGGGGGAGGAACTGTTCGGAGTCGAGAAACGATGCTCCATTTTATGCACCGGCGGTCCTGAGGCTTTTGGATCCCGAGAGAAATGCCGTGAGATACCGTCCTTGGCTCCCGAGATCTCCATAGAGACGTCGGAGCAGCACTTCCGCATGGGGAAGCTGAGAAGTAGTTGCCAGTTCGTGCTCAAATGTGACGAAGAGAGGTTCAGTTGCCCTGTGCTATTGCATTTTGGGCTTGATTCAATTTAGAAGTGACATTGTCCCCTGTCCCGCAACTCAGCCAAAACTCACAAGAAAAGGGGAGATTCTCGTAAGTTGTTATTTAGCCTGTTGCTATAGAACCCCCCACTGTTCTAGATGCTCCGTGCTGTTATGAAGTCACCCAGACAAGCCTGTGAACACGCGTAAAGGCAGCAGCACTTGAAAGGTGGAAGAATCACGGCGCCATGACATAATTGCTGCGTGGTCACCGTAGAACAGCTTTACTGTCAGTCAGTATCAGGTAGTGCGGTGCATGTAGGATACCCCATAGGCTGGCCATAGAGATTTCTCTCCCAGTCTATCCTGGCCCTCATAAAGGTTGCCGTTGGATCCATTTGGCAGTCAACACAATGTACCCGCAAGCCATAACATACTCGAAAGTATTACAAATGTAAGAAGGAAAAAAAAAAAACTAATTTTTTTCTCTCTTCCAAAACTTCTTTCGGAGAATAACTCAAAATTTGGGCATTTAATATCAAGTGCGCGAAAAGAAAGAGGCGTTTCTAGAAATGAGAAACGAGCTGTCATAGATACAAGAGCACAGCCATGGCGTCGTTGTTTGGGGCAGGATGACTCGGCTTACATGAACCTTGAGCGGCCTCAGTCGTGACTCATTGGGACATAGCTACACGGTTAAAAGAGGCTTCCTATAGTCAGCTTGTCCCTCTCGATCTTAACACAGGACACAGAAATCGACCAAATCGAATTGATGACGTTCGTAATCTCTTTGCACATCATCACAAGCACTGCAAGAAGAAAGTCGTCCTTCCTAGTGTTGATCTCCCCTTCAACTCCACCAAACCGGTACGTATCTCCACCCCCAAAACAGGCCTCCCCCAGCGTCCATTCCATTCCCCTTCCCGCAGTTCATCCGGCACCAATGCAAGGCTGAAGACGGGCCTGCAATTGAGTGGAAGACCCTTTCCAGACATTGCGGGGCAATCTTTTTTTTTTTTTTTTTTTTTTACTGCCGTCTGCCGCAGCTGCCCGCAGCACCAGCACTGGGAGTTGCCGCCGAACGGACCTGACCTCTGATGCGCCTCCAAAATCCAATCCCGCATCGTCGCCGACCCAAGTCACCTCGTCCAAATCTCACGCTCCCCAACCCGAAAGCCAGCCACCAAGCTGCAGCTGCACCACCCCCAAACCGCCCAATGCTTTTCGATCCGTGACCTCGAGCTCATTTTTCGCTTCAGCCTGTTAGTCCATTCGCAAATGTAGCAATTCCACCCAACAAACCTTTCCGACCGCAAACCTCTTTGGCGCATACGACGCCAGCCGGCTTCCCTCCCGCCCCCAGGCGAAAAAAAATCTACGAGGAAAAAGAGCACCCCACCGCGAATCTCTGTTCGACTTTCGTCTTCTCGCCAGGAACTCTCTCCGATACCCACGAGCATACCTTCTTCTACCCCCCTCAAACCGACACGCTCGAATAAAGTAGCGATCGCCACACGATTACACTCATAAACCCGGCCGTCGCAATGGCTACGACCCCAGCGGCCCCCTCCCCCGCCGCCACGACCTCGAGCACCGACTCCAAGCTCGAGGTCTGGAAGGAGACGCTCTACGACGCCTTCCAGAAGGCCGGCGACGAGAACCACCTCTTCAGCCAGTACGACATCCTCGACTTCGAAGTCATCCCCAACCGCGACACCGTCACCCTCCTCAAGGTCCTCCAGAGCCTCACAAATGACCGCCTCCTCATCGCCGTCTCCTCCCAGACGGGCCTCGCCTGGCGATGGCGCTCCATGGAGGATGCAGAGAAGTAAGTTCCTCTCCCACGCCCTTCTCCCTGCCTCACCAAGGCCGACAGCTAACACCCCTTCCCCTCCAGGTACAAACTCTGCTCGACCGACGAACAGCGCATGGTCTACGGCGCGATCGACGAAGCAGGCGGCGACGGCATCTGGTCCAAGACAATCCAGCACCGCCTCAACATGCACGACTCCGTCCTCAAGACAGCCCTCAAACAGCTCCAGGGCAAAGGCCTCATCGCCCCCTTCAAGAACGTCGAGCACCCCAACAAGCGCATGTTCATCAAGGCCTCCATGCGCCCCTCGGAGCGCGCCACCGGCGGGCCCTGGTTCACCGACTCCGCCTTCGACGAGGCCTTCATCGAGGACCTGCAGCGCGTCATCTTCGACCAGATCAAGCGCAAGAGCACCTACCACAGCACCGGCGCCTCCTCCTCCTCCGCCACCCGCACCGCCATGCCCAAGAAGGGCGTGCTCAAGGGCGGCCTCGAGAACAAGGGCAAAAAGCGCTCCGCGGGCGAAATCTCCGGCGGCGACAGCGACGATAAGACCGCCGCCGCGTCCTCCTCCTCCTCGCCCGCCGTGCAGCAGCCCCCTCCCAAGCGCGAGCCCGCGCTGCTGCCCCTGCCGGCCGGCTTCAAGGAGTACCCCACCGTGCGCGAGATCGCGCGCTTCATCTCGCAGACGGGCATCACCACCGACACGATCCTCGGCGAGGAGGACGTGCAGAAGCTGATCGATGTGCTGGTCTTCGACGGCCTCGTCGAGCCCGTCCGCGTGGCCGGGCGGACAGGGTACCGCGTCTGCAGGGCGCCGCGGCAGAGCCTGCAGGGCTGGGCGGGCCGGCAGGAGGGCGGCGCCGACGAGGGCGGGCCGGAGCCGCACGTCAACGGGTTCACGGAGGCGCCGTGCGGGCGATGTCCCGTGTTTGAGCTCTGTGAGGAGGGCGGGCCGGTCAGCGCGAGCAATTGCGTGTATTTCCAGCGGTGGTTGGGGTTGGAATGATCCTTGAGGTGTGCGAGGGAGAATAAGAAAAGAAGGAAAGGACGCTTCTATGGGGAGACAGCTAGGCTTTTTGGGACTGATTTCGCATCATGGCAGCATTGCATTGGCGTTGGCACAAAAAGAGGACACGGGCGGTACGGGTTCAGAGGTAGAATTTTTTAATCCTCCCAAGCGGAATAGTTTTGGCAGTCGGGCTGACTGTGGAATATACCATCCTGTATTTGACATGGTAATTGGGCAATTGGCTTAGGCGGTTGAGAAGTACTTCTGCGTGTTGACGGCGTTCCCGAATCACAGTAGACATGGTGACAGACAGGTGGCAGCAACTTTTGTCTTGGCTTGCTAACTATCAGCAGTGATGCTGAACTACGCCAAGACGCGCGACGGCGCGTTTTCCCAAGTTTTCACCAAATCCTCCATCTTCCCCGGCCTGTTTTCGCTTCTCTCGAGACTACTAACTGGCAGAGTTGGACCTAAACGTACAAAGCACGAGCGAGGGGCAGTTTACAACTGGCCAGAGGCGACGATGGTGGGGCGCTTGCCGTAGCGGACGGTGCCGGAAGAAGAGCCAGTGGCCTCAAGAGCCTTGACGATCTTCAGGGACTGGTCGTCGGCAACCTCGCCGAAGACGACGTGGCGGCCGTTGAGCCAAGAGGTGACGACGGTGGTGACGAAGAACTGGGAGCCGTTGCTAGAAGACTGTTAGACTGGGTTTGGAGGATGAGTGAACGATAGAAAGCTTACGTGTTGGGGCCGGCGTTGGCCATGGAAAGCAGACCGGGCTTGTCGTGCTTGAGCTGGAAGTTCTCGTCGGCGAACTTCTCGCCGTAGATGGACTTGCCACCGGTGCCCTGGAAAGTGTGAGCTAACTGTCTCGCTTTTGGAGATGGGGAAGGAGACGTACGTTGCCACGGGTGAAGTCACCACCCTGGAGCATGAACTCGGGGATGATGCGGTGGAAAGAAGAGCCCTGGTAGCCGAAGCCCTTCTCACCAGTGCAGAGAGCACGGAAGTTCTCGGCGGTCTTGGGGACAACGTCGTAGAAGAGGTTGAAGGTGACGCGGCCGTTCTGGACTGTTGATGAAGTTGGTCAGCAGAGCTCAGTAACACCAGCGGGGTCGTTGCCGAGGGGTTGGGGGAAGCAAAGTTTGGGCTCAGGTGGGGTGATTTGACGGCGCGGACAGTGCTTCGCAGTGAAGCATTGAGATGCCCATGGCTTCCAGATCAGGAATCATGATGGTTCGTGATGGGATCTGATGGAAGAAGGGAGCTCTTACCCTGGACATCCTTAGTAGGCTTGTTGGAGGCGTCGAGGATGGGACCCTCCCACTCGATGTCGAAGTAACTGCAACAGCATTGTTAGTATGGCGTCATTGACAGCTTGCGATGCTTGCATAGAGCATCGCAAAGGCATCGTCGAGGGCGAGAGAACTTACACCTGGGGACCAGACATGATGTTGGATGCTGAGAAGAATCTGACGGATGGCTTGGTGGTAGATGCAGACAGAGGAGTTGCACGGAGAGGTTTGATGAGGGTGGAAGGTCGAGAAAAGGGCGAGGGTGAAACGGAGAAGCAGGCGAGGTTATGGCGGGGTAGGAGGGGTCGCAAAAGGGTTGGTCTCATTTTTTCAACAGCTGGTGGAGGGGTTTATTGTTAGCGCAGGAGCTCCCCACTGCGGGTGCCGAAACAGCCAATCAGAAAGCGCAGAAGGGGGGCAAAGAGGGGCGTATCCAGTCACGTGAAGTCAGCTGTTGCTGAGATCACTGGGAGAAGGTACAAGGCAGGGAGTACCTGCCAATCTTCGGCGGTAGGTACCTCCACTTTGTGTGCTTGACGTCGTGGTTGCGACGGGGGGGAAGGCAGGAAGGGACGTGGTGGCGGCGGCGGCGGGGGTGAGGGAGGGAACGGACGGAAAGAAAAGGGAAGGAACGAGGGGCAATTGGGTCGTGACGGGAGTGAGGCGGCACCTCCGTCTGTTGACCGTCTGCTGCGCTTGCACTGGCGGCTGCTGCTCGGGTTGTTTTTCTTCTTCCTCGCTTCTCCTTTGCCTCAGCTTCGAGTCTGGACTCTGGTCTGCTGGGTGGCCGGTGTCCAAGAGCTGGCCGAGCATTGAGGGGAATGACTTCATCAGATCACCACCCCTCACTGCCCCAATTGGCCTAGTTGAGCGAGGAAAAACAGAGAGAAGCTGCAGACAGGGAAAGTGGCAAAGCTCAACCATTCCCGCAACCCGTCGGCCAGACAGCCAGACGAGGAGGACCGTGATCAATTGCCCAGCAAAAACATAGCTACGGAGGTACTTTGAAGCATTGGCCGACTGAATTGCTCTGAGTCTGCAGCCAGACCGCAAGGCGCCCAAACGAGATACTCGTCTCGTCGGCCAGGAGCGGATGTACCTGCAACGCGCTGCCAGCAGCTTGGCATCCGGCCCGGTACCTGGATGAACTCTCGCTGGAAGGCCGAGCTCAACAAAGACACAGAGGCAAATACCTCGTCTCGGGCAGAGCTCACCCAGCCAGCCAGCAGAGCCATTGGTACCCCGGCGCCGTACAGGTTCAAGCAGGCGGATGCACGTCAAAACCCCTAAGGCAATGCCTATTGGAGCGACAGAGGGCAGGGGAGGGGAAAGACAGAGACAGCAAGCTGGGAACTCCACGTCCAGTCGCGGTCGACGGACCAGGAGCTGGGACTTGTTGGCCAGGTCACCGTCCCCCACTGGCCCACGTTGCCCTGGACACCCTTCAACTTTCGGAACCTCGTGGAATCTTGGGTCTGGGACTGAGAAGCGGGGATGGGGTTGGACGCGGTGAGCTGCGGACTGCGGACTGCGGACTGCGCATTTCGCATTGTACCTCTAGGTCTGCAGACGGGGTGGATGGCACAGCAGCAACAGCGGTGGACAGACCATGACGAGACAAGACGACGCGATAGGACAGACAAGCCGAGCCGGGAAGAGAGTGAATCGGCATCGACAATGGCAATGAGGAGGCGATTGCACCATTCGTCCGTCTCGGCGTCTGTGTCATGTTGCCCGGAGGCTATGCCTCCCTCTCTCTCTCTGTCTGGTCTGCTGCCGCTGCTACTGCTATTGCTGCCGCCGCCGGTGTACCTAGCCAGCCAGCCATGCTTGGAGCTATCCAAGATGCCGGCCAGCTTGGGAAGCTCAGGCCGGGGGCCAGATGTGCAAGACGAAGGAGCTGGGGGAGCTGGAGGAAAAGCCACAGACTTGAATCTGACAGTTCAGTCGACTTGCATAAACCGCCCTAGCCGTCTAGCCAGCTCCGTGGTGCTCTGATTGTTGTGTGCTTGGGAGCTTTCATGTGCAAATGGGAGCTTTGAGAAGAAAACGCTGCGAGACGACGAAAAGGACCATTCCACATACCTCAATGAGCAGGACTACACGTTTGGAAATGGTACAGGTACAGAAGCGAAGAGATGGAGATTGGTGATACACAGGAACCAGAGACGAAGACCTGATGCTGCTGATGGAGAAGAATCTGTCTTCCTACGTGGTGCTCCCAGGGAAAAAAGTTTTGGTGAGGTCAGGGACCGACGGCACGGCACGCCAGCGCGGGCAGCCTGAGGAACGACGACCAACGAGAGGGACAAGTCTCAGCTTGGCAGATGGCGGCCGATAGCTGACAGCTGGCACACGGCAGCCATTGGGCACGGCCTTAGCGCCAGGTGGCAGCCGCCGTGGCAGCTCCCTTGTGGGCACTCGGAGCTCTGCCAGCAGCGGGAAGGAAGCCACGACAGCTCCTGCTAAGCTGGAGACGCGGCAAGAGGCAGCTCTTCCTTCAGCTCTCAGCTCGTGTCCGCCCTGCAACCTGCCGCAGCCTTTGAGGCAAGAACTCTGATTCTGCACTGTCATCTCCTCTTCTTCCTCATCATCGAATTGGAAGGAGCTGAAACCTAATTGAGCAAAAATACGCAATATGTCCAGAGAATAACCCGTCGAGAAACACTGGCTGTTCCGGATCGAGCTGCACCTCAGCCAAACCGCAGCTTTTCCGACGCAACATCCCCGTCGGCCTGACTGGGGGAGAGCTGCGTCCCTCTTTCCAATCTGCGCCTTCCTCACTGCTCTTTCCCGCGGATGCTTGCTTACCTCATCACACGTGATTCCGACCCGTCGCCCCTTTCCCCTTCCCTCCTCAGGCTGATTCAATCTCATTGGAAGGACCACTGCCAATTAATTGAGGTACGTACCCCCCTGCCGCCGCGCCGTCCGAGGCCGACCTGAGCCTGAGCCTGAAAGTTCCAGGGTGGCCAGGACTGCTTGCAGCCGCGCATCTCGCTTTGAAACGTCGTCACAAAGAACACCAGGGGAAACATCTTGCATTTCGACAGCGCCGTCTGCCAGCTCTCAGTTGCCATCGTCAATCTCCTTATTCGCTGCTGCTACTTCCGCCGCCATGGATTGGAACCAGCTCAAAGACCAGGTCTCCAACCTGACCCTGTACGACGTCAAGGCCGGTGTCCGTAAGGTCCAAAATGGTAAAGACAGCTATCCCGATCGCGATGCCCCCAGGCCTTAGGTGCTGACCGTCTACTAGCTGTCATGAACTACACAGAAATGGAGGCCAAGGTTTGTGGCATCAACCGGACAATGGCAAACGCCATCTGACATGTACAGGTTCGCGAAGCCACCAACAACGAACCTTGGGGCGCATCCTCCAGCATCATGCAGGAGATCGCGAACGGCACCTTCAATTAGTACATCACCACAATCAACCCACCCCAGTACGCGCCGCTAACATCCTCAAGCGCTACCCTCAACGAGATCATGCCCATGATTTACCGCCGATTCACAGAAAAGTCCGCCGAGGAGTGGCGACAAATCTACAAGGCCCTCCAGCTTCTCGAATTCCTTATTAAGCATGGCTCCGAGCGTGTCATTGACGACGCCCGTGGCCACATCACACTGCTCAAGATGCTGCGCCAGTTCCACTTCATCGACCAGAACGGCAAGGACCAGGGAATCAATGTGCGAAACCGCGCCAAGGAGCTGGCCGAGCTCCTGGGCGATGTCGAACGAATCCGATCGGAGCGCAAGAAGGCGCGCGCGACCAAGAACAAGTACACTGGTGTTGAGGGTGGCATGGGTCTCGGTGGAGGTTTCTCGAGCGGCAGCGGCAGTCGATACGGCGGTTTCGGCAGCGAGTCGGGTGGCTACGGCGGATACTCTGGAGGTGTCTACGGCGACGGTGGCGGCTTTGGTGGACAGGAGAGCAACGACTACGGAAGGACACAGGCACACGGAGACAAGTTTGAGGAGTACGATGAGTTTGACGACCCTGCCGACAGGCCAGCAGCCAGCTCCTCGGCGTCTCGGTCCAAGAGACCCGAGCGTGCAGCCGCACCCAAGGCCGAACCCCCCAAGAAGAAGGAGCCAGAAGTTGACCTCTTCTCTTTTGACGACCCGGCGCCATCCTCGATGCCGGCCCCCGTTGCGCCGACAGCTTCCAATGGCTCCGGCTTGGCTTCTTTGTCCGCAGCTCCCGCTGCCGCTAACGACGACGATGAGTTCGACGATTTCCAGTCCGCCACCCCTGCCCCTGCTGCCGCCTCAGCTACACCTTTGTCCCCTCCCGTCATGACCGCTACCTCTGCCACTACCTTTGCCGCCCCTCAGCCTGTATCTGCGCCGCAGCAGGCCAACATTGGCAACATGGTCAGCATGTCGTCCATGTCTCCAGCCCCGAGTGGCGCCAACTACTCTGCCTTCAGCACTCCCGCTGTGGCGTCGCCTGCGGCTCAGGCCCCCAAGCCCTCTGGCTACCAGCCCTCAGGGCCCAACTACTTTGGCTCTGTCCAGTCCGGAGCTGTCGCCCAAAACACGGGAGGCTCGTTTGGCGCCGCTTCCCCCATGGCTGCGTCGAAGCCTGCGTCGACTCCTGCTGCCAAGCCCGCGGCTGCTGGAGGCGATGCTTTCGGTGCCCTCTGGTCTCAGGCTAGTGTTGGTGTGAAGAAGACGAGCACTCCCACTGCTGGCCCTGCCATGGGACAGCTCGCCAAGGAGAAGAGCAGTGCTGGTATCTGGGGAGCCCCCGCGGCAGCATCCTCTACTCCCAAGCCTGCTGCCGGGTCTTCCTCTGGCGGCAACCACGGCCTGGACGACTTGCTCGGTTAAGCAAACATAATGACGGAGACGGGGAGAACAGTCTTTTCGCGGCACCTGGCTTGTTGTTGAAGAAGAGAGTCCGCCAGGTGAGGTGAAGAAGGCAACATGCCGGTAGGCTGCTAGACAGGGCGTACTGGCGCGCAAAAGACTGCAACATATGAACATCTAACTGAATTTCAAAGCGAATCACTACCGATCCATTCGTCTCCTGACTTTTCACATTGTGACATCACCGGGCGGGAAAGCAGCCCACGTCTAACGCGTCTAGAGACTCATGCGCTTGTTGACTCGGGCATTACAATTACAGGACCTCACAGCCTCTGCAGCCGACAAGCAGCCTCATGCGCCCACACTCCGATGCAGGTGGGGAGACGATCGAACCAAGTCCAGACCACCAACACGTTCATCCATTAGCCTTTCAATGCAAGTTCCCAACATAGAGCAAGCCGATCAAAGCAACGCGTTGCCTACTCGGAGCCAATGGCTAGCTTCCCGGGCATGAGGCTCTACGAAGGACACCACCTCCCATCTAATCTTGGCTGCATACATCAATCCCAACGGCCCAGGAAAGAGGCCTTCTGAATGAACCATTCCCCAGCTAAGACATGCGGCCGGGCCGCCAGCCGCCAGGCCGTTGCAGGTGTTGAATCGTTGCATCCGCGATGGGCTGTATGAACAGGCGCCTCAGCCTCCAGCCCGTGGTCCCACAGCGACCTCGATGACGGCCCTTTATCTTTGCAGAGCCGGGCAGAGAGGCAGGTCCGAAGATCATGACTCCACCGAAAGTCAATGCTAGGCCGAGGCCATAGTCTCCGGGTGCAAGCAGACCCAATCAACCCCGGCTGCCCGGCTGCAGTGGTCGAAACAGACGCGGTGGTGGTGTGGCCCGTGGCTGGTTCGACGTGCCATTGGACGCGCCTATTGCCTCTCCACCAGGGCGACCCGTTATCTTTCCTTATTTTTGCTCGGATACCAAGACATCCATAGATTTGGCGTCATGGATTGAAATTTCAAGGTAGGGCAGGCAATGTAGGTGGCCGTCGTAACCGCGTCGCTTGTCCAACCTTCTCTCAGTTCTCTCCACCGCTAAGCGCCGCACCGCACCCCCGGTCCGGACATCTCATTGGTCCACCCCGGCGGCTCATCATACCTAGCCGAACTGCACTTCGTCCTCCGCAGGGCACCGCAGGGTCGTCTGTGGTCCGGTCCAAGGTCCCCGTCTATCCTACGTATGCAGGTACCGTACGGCACGGGTCTGGGATCCATCTCTTGGAGTCAAGAGAGGCTAGAACGCGTCTGCTGGAATTAGCAACGCCGGCCTGTTGGGGCAACGAACAACAATGCATGCACCAACACACCACCGCATCAACAAGCAGGGCTGGAGAGTCTGGGCCTGAGGTCTTGAGTGATCGAGTGTCGATGTCCCACATGTATAAAGCAGACTGATGCCATCCGGAGTCAACCAGTCTTTTCTTTCCTCTCATCATCAGAATCAAACAATCATCACAGAACAAGGTCTTCTTTCTCTTTCCTTTTTCTCTCTCTTTTTTTCCTTGACTCTCTTTCCTAGGTCAATTTCCTATCTCTGGGTCTTTCGGTTTCAATTCGGATTTTCCTTCGACACTTATCAGCCATCTTTCATTCACGAAGAACGAATCGAAACGAAGCAAAGACTCGACACATTAGCCAACGACTCTCTTTCGTCAAGACGCCAAAAACACACCTCACGAAAACATCTCAGTCATTTCAAACAAGTCTTTTCACTTTTTTAACACATTAACAACATAAGTCGCAACACAACGCGACTTTCACCAAACACCTTCAAAATTACCTCCTCAACCCCCTCCGCCGCCGCCGCCTGCATCCCCTTTCCGCCGCGCCGCTTCCCGACCCGCACGGCCCTCCACCAACGCCCGAAGCTCTCCCTCGTCACCCCCGCCTCCCTCCGCAAGATGCCTTCGGCCCCGCAGCTCGGCGCCCTCGGGCACACCTTCACCGCCATGCGTGCGATGCAGTTCGCCAGCCTGATCGCCATCATCGGCATGACGAGCAACTTCATCTCCGAGATCAACGCCGCCGACGCCTCCAGCCCGAGCGTCTTGATTGGGACTCTGGTAGTTGTAAGTGAAGTCCTCCTCCTCTCCCCACCATGGCTCTCCACCCACTAACACCACCAAAACAGTCCTGCATCGCAACCCTCTACATCGTCATCTCCTACATCCTCTACTACGACTCCCTCCTCCCGCTCCTCCTCGCCACGGCCCTCGACTCCACCCTCCTCGTCGCCGTCATCGTCGTCGCCTGCACCCTCGGCAAGCCCCTCTCCTACCTCAACTGCGCCGCCCTCCCCTCCTCCGGCAGCACCGCCACCTTCATGACCTCCGTCATCGCCAACTCGGGCGCCTCCTCCACCCTCAACTACTTCATCTGGGTCGGCGCCGACCAGCGCACCTGCTACGCCGTCAAGGCCGTGTGGGGCCTCTCCATCGCGCTGTGCGTGCTCTTCGCCTTCTCCGCCATCACCGCCGTCTGCCTCTGGCGCCGCCTCAAGGTCGTCTCCGCCCCGAAGGACATTGAGAACTGAAGGTGCGGCCGTGAGGGGCGCGGCTGCTACAATGCCGCCGCTGCGCCTGTCTACTTCCCCCCGCCCCCGGTCAGGGAGGTGCGCGGGGGAGGGGGCAGGGCGGCGACGGCATTGGGGACCGCGGCGCTGGGGAAGAAGACCCGCGTGTACGATGATTACTCCTCCTCTTCGGACTCCGACTCGGAGCACCAGAGGGAGTTCGTCAAGCCGCTGGGGTCGTTTGCCCAGAGGCCGTCGTTCCCACCGCCTCCCACGGCGCCGGTTCGGAAGGTGAAGATTGTAGAGGGAAGGGTGGCGGTGCAGCCGTTGCCTGTGCTGCCCGAGACCGTCTCGCCTGTTGCTGCTGCTCCATCTCCCAAGGAGAGGGGTTTCCGGGGACTATTGTCTCCGGTGTCTACTAAGGATAAGGGGGGCTTGGGCTTGTTGTCGCCGGTGTCGCCCAAGGACAATGGGGTTTCGCTCTCGCCTACTACTCCAAAGTCGCCTTTGGAGAGGGTCAAGTCGAAGAGGCGGACGATTATGCATTTCATTGACGGGTGGTGGGATCTGGGGCTGTTGGAGCAGGAGAGGAAGAAGAGCCTTATGAGGGCTGCTTCTAGGAAGGCTTGATTGGAAACACAAAAATTGGGATTTGGGATAATCAGATTGCTTTGGGGGCATTGGGAACACTTGGGAAATGGGTAATGTCTACTGCGTAGATAGATTTGGTTCGGCACTTTGGTTATGATGGCGTTCAGGAACATGCGGGATTGATGCCCGTCATTTAATAAAAATGAAAAATAAACCCGGGAAAAGAGCTTCTTGTTATATGCAAAGTAATGCAATTGAAACTAATCGTGGAAGAAAGCCGAGCAGACGGCTGCCGTCACGGCACCGATGCTGAAATCCAAAACGCCTGGAAGTGAAAGACATGTACATTTGGTATCCTCGTAACATCTTTTGTTCAAAAACCACATTAAACATCAACGCCGGATCAGACAAGACAGTAAGCTCATGTCAGCAGCACAGGGTGTCCCAAGACCTTGAAACACGCCGCCAGATCCCACGTCTCGTCGATGTTATCCCGCCCCGCCCACACGTTCTCCATCACCCCCAGGGCGGCACGGATGCTCCCAAACACCTCCAGGGCGCCCATCTTGCCGACCATCTCGCGGAACATGTGCTCCTGCGCGGGCGTCGCGAGGCAGCCGATCACGCAAAATGGCCAGACGACGGTGCGCAGGCACACGGGGGAGTGCAGCGAGTCGAGCAGCTCGATGGTGGCGGTGACGCTGGTCGCGGTCTCGGGGCAGGAGGGCTGCCAGCCGGAGACGACGGTGGAGAGGTACGTCAGCGCGGCGTAGGCCCAGATCTTGGTGTGGATCAGCGCGGCGGAGCGGGTGTCGCGGACCTGCTCGCTCTGGTAGAGGGTCAGCGGGTCGGGCGGGAGGCGGGTGGTGTCGGCGTGCGTGGGGTGCGGCGGCGGGCGGTTGGCGTCGGTGAGGGCGCAGGAGCCGGCGGCGCAGGCGAGCTCGGAGGAGCCGAGGAGCTGCGGGCAGGCGTTGTCCATGCAGGCTATCCCCTCGCGCAGGGCGAGCTCGAGGCAGCCGGCGCGGGATACGAGGTGGGTCATGGAGAGGGAGCCGGCGCGGCGGGTTTCCTTCTTCCAGGCGTCGAGGGCGGCGATCTCGCCGATGAGCTGAAGGACCCAGGACTGGCAGCCGAAGTACTCCTCGAGGCGCAGGCGGGGCTCCTGCTCGAGGCAGGTGGCGGACTCTTTGCGCGGGGAGAGGAGGTAGGCGTGGTAGCCCTGGAGACGCGGCGGGCGCTCGAGGGCGGTGGCGGAGATGATGTCGAAGTAGAGGAGGGAAGCCGTGAAAAAGCGGAGGGCGGCCTGGTCGGAGGACCAGGGCTTGTGGGATCCCGGGGGGAAGTTGACGCCCTGGAGGAGGGGGATGGCCATCTGCTGCATGGTGGCGTCCCAGGCGTCGGTGGTGGGGAGGATCTGGGTGAAGACGATGGTGGCGGCGTCGAGGTGCATCTGCCAGTGGTCGTTGGATGCGAGGGTGACGTCGAAGACGAGGAGCTGGACGATGGACTCGAGGACGCGGCAGGACTGCTGGAGTTGGGTGGAGGGGTCGCCGGCCTCGTTGATGAGGGCCATGTCGGCGCGGAGCTCCTTGAGGGCGAGGTCGAGCTGGTGCTGGAGGGAGGCGACGGAGCGGATACGGCAGGGGGTGTGCTCGACCTGGGCGCCGTTGAGGACGACGCCGAAGAAGTGGGAGGAGAGGGAGAGGGCGGTGTGGTAGAGAGCCTTGTTGTGGTTGAGGACGTTGAGGAGCCAGCCGCGGCCGCCCTCGAGCAGGGCGGGCTTGTAGAAGGGGAAGAGGAAGGGGAAGACGTAGTCGAGGTAGATCATGATGAAGCCGAGGTTGGCGTCGTCGGGGAAGGGGGTTGTGGGGTTGAGGTCCGGGGCGAGGACCGGTGCCGGTGAGTGTGCCGGTTGTGAGTGTGGTGCGGCGGCGGGCGGGCTGGAGTGGGTGGATGCGTTCCAGTCCGGGGTGTGTTGCCGGGCGTGGTTCGGAGATGCGCCGGGAGCGATCTCGGAGATTGAGGATTTTACGGTTTCCATGTGATACGGGCTGGAGGCGTCGCCGGGGGTGTCGTGGACGGTCGACGGCGAGGTTGAGTTTGTCTCTTTTGATGAGCCCCCGTCGGCGCTGAGGGCCGGGACAGGGGGGATGAGGTCGGGGTCCGAGTCGTCATGACGGTGCTGGTGCTGGTGATGGTGGTCGGCCCCCGCGTCGACATCGAGGGACTGGAGATACTTGCGCTCGCGGCGGTTGTTGGCCTGGACCTTGACCTGCTTCTTGAGGTGGTCGGCCATCTCCTTCTGGCGCTCGCCGCCGTCCATCCAGTCGGGCTTCGTCTCCGAGTAGTGGCAGGTGATTTCCAGCTGCGCGCAGCCCTCGCAGACGGGGCGGGCCTCGTCGCACTTCTTGCGGCGCAGGCGACACGTCCAGCAGCCCTCGGAGGAGCGGATCTTGGCGGAGGAGGACATGCTGTTCTTGAAGCGCGACCGGAGGCCGGTGAGCGACGACATGTGGGAGGGGTCCTTGTTGCGGGAGAACATGACGGGCAGCGGTTGTTCGTCGTCGTCGTCGTTCTGATGCTTAGAGGAGGTGATGGTGTGGATATGTCATCGATGAGAGAGACAAGAGTGAGTGAGACGAGGCGTCGCTACGAGAACCAGCGTCTCTCCAGGCACTGCAAGGTCCCAATTCAGGTGCGTATGGTTGGTCAGGTTGTCGTCAACAACGTCGTCGGACCATGCGGCGGCGGTGGCGGCAGCGTAGACGCGGCTTGACGGCTGGAAGGGGTTCAGGTCAGCAGCAACTCTGCAGTCCGCAGTTAGGTTCCGCGGCAGTGCAGTCGAGATTGAGCAGCAGCAGGGGCGCATCAAAAGTGCAAACCAACGTGCGGATTTGTAATCCACTTAAAAGCGGCGCCGGCATGTTCCATTCAGCCTTGGCGGGTGGTGGTGGGTGTCGCTGATGTGGTGTGTGGTTGAAAAATTTAAGGTGAAAGGACGGACGGCGGCCAGGGATGACATGAGATGATACGTACCCCACTTTCCTGCCGCGATCCTTTTGAGCAATTCAGCGACTCCTGCCCCCTTTTTCCTGCTGCTTTACTGAGGTAATACTGGTAATACTGGCTGTGCCTCGATAAGCGACGCGGCAAATCGGCAGGTTTGAGTTTAACATTGATGATCGCCCGTTTCCCACACCTCGTTTGATCCTGAGAGTCCTGAGAGGGATGCGCGGTGATCTAAATATGATTTTCGGTCCTTCATATTGAAACCTCATCCATAGCATATGTTAAAGACCACGAGTGACAGCTTGTCAAACGGTTTCACACCAAGAGTTGTTTACATGAGATGAGAGTGAAGCTGCCAACACACATGAGCCAGCCCATGACTGAGAGCCCGCCCAGAGGACCCCTGCATCCCTGCCACCCTCATGAGACGCGACGCGTAGGCTCCCACTTCATTCATGCTCTGCAGCTGAATGGCGCGGCGTTTCAAGAAGCTCTTCTCTCATTCTCTCATTCGGTGAGCCCGGCAGCCTTATCAGATCTGCTGCTCTTGGTACCTGACGTGACACCTTCTTTCAGCCCTGTTGCTGCAGGGGGCCCCCGACGGGAGTGGTGCTTAAATGAGCCTATTCGAGATATGGCATCAACCTGAGCGTTTCTTGCTCTAGGCGACGTCGCAGCTCACTTGAAGGTGTTGATATGCGACCTTTTCGGGAGTCTCTGCATCACCGGATAGTAGCTGTCGCTTCATCGGTAGGCTCGCTGGGCCAGTTCGCCTAAATCCCCGATTGGCTGGTAGAGCCTTCATGAACTCAAAATGCTTGTCAGATTGAGGCCATAACTGATTACCTTCCGTGAAGGCGGCTCAAGTGGGACGCGAACACGTCGACAGAACATGCAGGCGGCACATGTAGCCAGTCAATAAAATGTTCGCGAGCTGCAAGTCCCGGGCCAATAGCCTCACGACGCATTCAAATGCAAGACACCCAACACACCTGAACTGATCGAGATGAGAGTAAGTAACGTTGCATGTGAGGAGAAAAGAGGGAAGAGGCGACCAACAGAGACATCACAACGGGGGGATGAGAGAGATCCACGGAGAGGGGTACGGATCTCACGGCCATCCGACCTTCCACGCCTCCCCGCTCCGTCTACATTGGTGCCTCCTGTAAGCCCATCTTTCATCATGAACTTCATTTCATGTAGGGCGTTATCGAGAACATGGCATCAGATGGAGAGCGTGATATAATATAAGCAAGTGGATGCTCAAGAACAATTTTGTGGATATCAATGAGCCATAATAAAAGTGTATGAAACTATTCCGTAGCTAAGGAAGTCAATGGATCAGAGCTAATTATCATTTCCTTTGCCATTTTTAGCTGTGGCAAGTTTATCCCAGCCAACAACCCGACCTAACCGCAAGTAAGAACGCCTTTCCGGTTCACATTCATGCCGCATCGAACCGGAACTGTAAAAGGCTGCTGACCGTCCACGAAGCTCCCTCTCAGCCTGCCGAAAACATTCTGCTTCTCAATCTCCTCAGACGGCTTCTGGTCAACTTCTACTTCCCAAGCTCTCCAGCCGTTCTGATGGGGAAACTTCCATCGGAGAACAATCGGTGGACTCAAATGACATGGAAGAGTGACAGGCTCATCTCCTCCTTGCTCGCCAATCTCGTCCCCTCCAGGGGCAGGAAGGACTGGGCCGAGCGCAAGATACAAGCTTTCCGACCCGTCTGTCTTGCGCCAGTACTTCAAACAAGGACTTCTTTCCGGAGTCGAAGTCGGAAAGTGAATCTGCTCTCGCATGGTGAATATCCGATTAGTGACATCCTTGTCTTCGACGACACTGTTTGGGAGATCAATCTTGAGGACTTTGGGATCGCAGGTGAGTGGGGGCAGTGCGATAACAACGTGATCACCTGTCCAACTCGTCAGTGCCAGAGGAGGAGCCATCTGATACAGCGGGTCTTGAATGATGAATGTGCAGCTTTGCGAATCCAGTGATTGGAGCCTGTCGGTCTGGTCCGGCGTGAACTGGAACGTCTGCAGCTTGACGACACACCGAGTGCAGTGTCCGAGATCGAAGAACAGAATCAGGACGAGATGCAAGTAATCGCCACAAGGAGAGAAATGGAGTTCTACTGAAGTTTTAGCAAACTGGTGAGGCAGAGGGTTTGGGTGAGCCAGTAGCATTACCTCTTGACTGGACAGATGGAGTCTCTGAAGCAGTTGAAGTATCCGCAGTTTCAGAAAATAGGGGGAAGGTTGTCTTCTGGCTATCACCTGTCTCGACATTCACGAGTAACAAGTGCGTTGAAGAATGCGTTAGGGCAACCAGCGGCAATGTTGGATGCATGGCGGGAGCGACATTGTCCCAGTACGAGATTCCAGCCCAACTCAGGAAGATTGGCGGCTGTTCGGAACAGATGAATGCCAAGCACTTTGTGTGTTCTTCTGGAACGACATAACCACCGTGTTCCGTTTCATGGGTGTTGGGTACCGACTGTACTTCATCGGCGATGGAGCTTGCGTCTGACGAAACTGAACTATCGTCGCTGCTTTCAGAATCATTGTCCTCCTTGGGATCATCAGATGAGCCGCAACCCACTCGATCAAGACGAAGCATGCGAACGGACAAGCCCGAAGCACTCGATATGGTGCTTGTGTCAACAAGATTCCATCTGGTTCTGGGCTGGCTCTGTGGTCGTCGACCCAGCAATGTTGAAGGCCGTGATGTTGCCTCGGGCTGGGGCATTAGGAGTCTCCCTAGTTGCAAGGTTTCCGAGTTGATGTACCACGTCTCCAAACCGTCCGGTTTGTGCAAGATGAAGTACGTGAAGAGGTCGTTGCTCTCTGCGACAGGAACCTCGTGCTTTTGCGGCTCTACATCCTTCGACTTGTGTCGAAATATGGGCACGTGAACCTGTCGAAGAACGTTTCTAGGGTCATCGCGTCTGCGGAAAAGTAAACTGACCGAGGCTCCCGTCCGGAAGTGGAGGTCAAAGGCAAACATGCCCACCATGCAGCCCAATGAGGGAACCTCTTCCAGGTTGGCGACCTTTACCTGCAACTGATTTGAAGTCTCGGAGTCTGAAGCCTCGGCCTCTTGAAGAGGGGTCAGGTAGCAGGACTTGCCCTCGGGGAAGGACCTCAGTGGGTAGCAATACTTCAAACCCGCTGGACAGGTCACTAGAACCTCTCTCCATTCCCTGACGAAACACCAGAAGGACTGATCCAGGTACTTCGACGGTCCGTCAAGCCACCCAGGCAACGGGACACCGAACTGGTCACCTCTGATGTATGTGTGCCCTCTGATGTCCATTTGGAAGGACCCGGTCTCGCGGTGAGCGTAGAACCCGAAAAGAAAAGGGGCTACTCGACTTTGAACAGACAGGCAGGTCCAAAACGCCTTGCTCTTGAGAAAGCGTTCAACGCGCTGACGGACTGCTGCATCCGGCTGGATGGAAAACAGGTGCTGAAACCAGAAAGTCGACGCATACCGAAGGAACGAGTGCTCCTTGGATCTGCTCTCCAGCAGATTGTCGATATCTTGGAATTGCTCATATCGATCGTACATGAGATAGGTTAGGCAATCCAAGCCAAGTTCGGTATTGGCTGCATCGCTGTCATGAACAAAAAACATGTGAATGCGTTCGCTGATGTTTCGATCCCTTTTCGGGTCTTGTTGGAAATAATCTTGAACAGACTTATGGGAGAACTTGACGACAGGGTCGCATTTCACAAGTGGTCCGCACAAATCCTCGATGAGCTCTCTAGCATTCCTCTGCACATTGTGTTTGTTGGAACGAGTACTCTCTTGGTCAACGGACAGCGCATCAACGACTTCATCGAAAGTGAGAGACTGGTGCGATGTAACCAAAAGCAAAAAGAGATGACTACCAAGATTGTTAGTAAGATTATGCAGACAGCCATGCTCTGGCATGGAGGAACTATACTAACCGAGCGAATTCCTGCTTCCACTCCTCGTGTTCGGCGATTTTCTCCAGGGAGCGGTTGAAGTACCCGTTCAAGCCAGAGGGGAAGCTTCGGAGCTCTTTGATAATCCCCGCAAGACATTGTCCGCTATTGAGTGTGTGGCATAAAAATGTGGCGTACAAGAAGCTATCATCTGTCCCTGGATCTAGCAAGCGATATTGATGAGTCCTGTCGTTGAGATATGATTCTATGTCTCTGGCAATGACTGCTGGATCAGCCTGAATCTCCACTGCGTTGAGTTGTTCCATCGCCCGACGGATTCTGGAATGTCCCTTGCGGCTGGTGAATAGCCACCTGTCGATGCCATATGACCTTTGTTGGACCATCTTCACCAGATCTTCTAGCATATCGTGTCTGAGCTTTCCGGGTTGCTCGTTGCTTGGCAAGTCCATGTCGATGCACTCGTCAAGTCCGTCAACCACCACGAAAACCTCGAGCGTCTTGACTAGTTCATGAACGAGCTTTGTAGCGACACTGATTTTGGTAAGTGCCCGTTTCTGTGTGTAGTCCTTCAGCTTCTCCTCCAGACAGAGTTGTACGAAGTGGTCAGTTAGGTTCGGAGACAGGAGGTCAAATAGCTGGATTATCAGCGATCTGAAGGCGTGAATACCGTGTTTCCGCAGGTCGTCGTTAAAGGAGAAGAAGAAGCATGCTATCTTTCCTCCTCTCTGTTTAAGGTGGTCGATGATGGCCGAAGTCAAGACGCTTTTGCCCGACCCTGCTTGAGCATTGTACCACAAAACAGCCTTTTTCTTCGAATCTCGCCATTCGATAAAGCGAGAGTCCTCGAAAATCCATTCGCAGGTACCCGGGTGACGAGCCGTCAATCGCACATTCACATCGTCCAGGACGTCAATCTGCTCAGCCTGTTCTCCTAGTATCCATTGGTGAATGCCATCCTTTTGCTGTTGCTGTCTGTTCTGATGCGATCGAAAGACATGGTGTGCCGCCGCGAGCTTGTGAATGGCATTGCTGTTCTTCTCGAGCGCTGCCTTGGCCTGCGTCATCTCTTCGCCCAATGAAGCGAATGGATCCATCATTCTCAGTGATGTTTTGAGAAGTCGCTTGGACGCTATGTACCAGAAGTTGATTATTGTCGTGTAGGAGCGGACTAGTTGGTCTTGGAACTCTGGCAAGTCGTGAAATGTCTTCCCATACATCTCATAGACGATGAAGTAATCGGCAATATCGGCGAGAGCATCCACGAGGTCCTCAAAGTACTCGTGGAACCCGATCGCCAACTCCAGAACGATTCGAGTACCCGAGAAAATGACGCCAGTTCCCATAGGACCAGCTTGGCCTAAAGGCTCCAAGACCTTTGAGACACGCTCGAATCTTTGCAGGAAGGGCGCTATCTTCAGCATTAGATGATGGCCGCGCTTCTTCTTGCGTTTTTCATCTAGAGTCCCTATGCAGGCTGTGAGACTTTGCATAGACTCCTGTGCGTAGGATGTGCCGTCGAGGGCCAATGGGGCTGACTGCTTCGACAGGTCGATAGCAGCGAGCTCTTTCAAGAATGGATTCCCAGGGTCGTTCCTGTGCCTCTCCGGCAGACTGCCGAAGAATTGCCTAATGGCTCTGCCGAATGCGGTTTCTGGAGAATCATCGCGTGTGTCGATTTCAACGGGTTGGACGTCAACGGGTTGAACTTCGACGACTATGTTATTTTTCAAGACATCCATCATAGGCACGTATCTGATGCGTGTGCTAAGAGAAGAAGAGCGTCAGTAAGATGATGCGGTGAGAAAGAAAACAGAGCCTTCTGTCACAGGCTCTTGAGAGAAAACGCATCCGATACCCATTTGTTTGGAAGATGTAGACAAGCGGGAAACCAAGAATACGAGGGGCGGCCGGGGCGGAGCAACTTAGGAGACTGGAGGTTCGCGAATGCTGCACATTGGTGGCCTCGTTTTTCATATGGACCGACTTTGACGCATGTCAGCTGCATGAAACGTTGTAAGGAATGTAGGTAGCGAGGGAATAGTTGTTATCGTCACATTCAGGCCAATGACCAGGTCATGGCGTTTCCAAATCTGTATTCGGTGTCGCCTGCACTGCCAGCATGCGATATGTCGGCTCTGTGACACCCATAACACCGAAGCATTGGAGGACGAAAGGGATGATTGCAGCCTCATCAAACACACCATCTCGAGCAACGCAAATCATAAACAAGGACAGCTACAGCCAAGCCTGATGCGGGGCTTCAAATCAGGCCACTCGACTGTTTTTGCTACTAATGGAAATGTTTGCAGAGACTCCATGCGTCTCAATGTAACAAGGAAAGATCAGGCTGGGAGACGGATCATCGGAGACAGATGAAGTGGAAAGTTAGGGAGGAAAAAAGACATAACAATGTGAACACACCAATTCTGAGCTTCCTCTAAACCAGAGCCCTCATCCCTCACAAAACAGCATGGCGTCACCGGCAGATGCTGTTGGCTCCTGGCCACAGTTCAGAACCTATCATGCTATCCATAAAAAAGGCGGCAAAGTCACGACTGAGACTCTTACTGATCCGTTTGGACTTCCACCTCACGCACAAGAAACCAGCAAGGACTCTTCCTATGCTCTTGTCATCAATCGAAAATTCGACAAGGACAACTCTGAACAACCCAAGAGTGTGACGCTGAAGGTGAACTCGCCTCATCTCCTTCAGGCCTTTCACGATGTCGTCGGTCCGAAGTACCCTACAGTTGCCTCAGACTTCAAGTCGCCATTCGAACTGCAGAGTCCATTTCAGATGCTGGTGCATTATTGGAACGAGCTAGAAACATATCGGGAAGAGACGGACAGCCCAGATATGCGTGTTCACTTGGGCATGCTTCTTCAATTCATGGAACACGAGCTTGGTGAAGATCGTAAGGCACTGCTGGACATGCTGAAGACGAAGCAGGTCACGTTTCTTACTGCATGGGTTCTTTTCCGGCCAGGAAACCTCCTGTACACCAAGGTGCTTGACCACCCATGGATATTGATGTGCCACAAGACTGCCTATGAGCAGAACTCATCAGCTGGACCATATCTAGAGGTTCACTGCACCTACACAGACTACAACGGCGCCATTGTTGGCGAGACTGCGCGCAAGATCACTATCTTCCAGAAGCAGCAGTTCGGGGGTGACAGCCCGGCGTTCATAACCGATCTTCCGATCTATCCCAGGAAATACGTTGATGCTGAGAGCCTTGATGCCCGACTGGAAGACAGGGGCAGAAGATTTCTTCAACACAAAGAAGTGTCCGTGGAAGCGTATGATGGCATCGCTCAGTACTTGAAGGAGCCCCCTTACTCCTATTACTCAGTCGACATGGATCGCTACCCAGATCTTTGGCTTCCATACACTGTGAGTGGCGACTGGACTATTCATATATGAGCGTCTCATCCGCTAATATGGCGACACATAGGAGTCTGGGAGGGTCGTAGTCGACAGGAAGACCTTCCACCATGATCATTACAATAGTTCGGTATCTGTCAAGAAGGTTGATCACCCCGACCCTCTTACCTGCCCACCTTTTGTGTTCGGCTTCGCTCTCAGCCGAAAGGTCTGGTGCCACTTGTTTCTCGACCATCTCAGCCCCATCAAGTGGGTAGACAACGCCTGGAACTCGTTGATATTGGAAGAGGATCAGAAATTAGTCATCCAGGCATTGGTCGCTTCACATGCATACCCTGACAATCCGCGAAATCAGCCTGAGCAGAAGGGAAAAGGACTGGTTGTGCTACTCCACGGAACTCCTGGTTCTGGCAAGACCTTGACTGCGGAGCTAGCGGCGGAGGCAAAGCAAACAGCGCTCTTGCCAGCTTCTTTGGGAGAGTTGAACAAGGAGAAGAAGTTGGTTCTCCTGTCATCTTGATTGAAACCGCTGATACTAATGAATATCCTCCCAGCGCAATGATGTTCGAGCGCGAGCTTCAGCGGCTGATGCAGTATGCCACCATTTGGAAGGCTGTTCTGCTGCTCGATGAAGCCGATATCTTTCTTGAGAAACGGGAAGACAACCCTGCCAACGCGAATCGCAATGCTCTCGTCGCGGTCTTTCTGAAGCAATTGGAGTACTTCTCGGGCGTCGTCTTTCTAACTACAAACCGACTCCGCACGTTCGATGCAGCCATGAGCTCGCGCATTCACTTGGCGCTTGGGTACAAGGCGCCAGACGCCGAGACGCGCCGACTTATGTGGTTGCAGTGCCTTCATAAAGTCCCGACAGATGAGATCGAGTTCAACGATATGGATGATGCCTCCGAGAACTTTGTATCTCACCGCATCAATGGGCGCGAGATTTCCAACGCTGTCAACACTGCTCGAACCATAGCAAGATTTGAGGGGAAGAAGTTGCAGGTCAGGCACATTAACCAAGTCCTGGTGCTCAGATCTAGCTTCCAAAGAGCGTTGCAGGCTGAAGGAACCAAGTTGACTGTGCAATCTGGGAGTACGAATCCTTTGAAAAGGACGGGGTCAATTGTGGATGAGCCAGACGAATACACATCGTGAGTCACGTAGCTACGAGTACCATCTTTCATAGACTGAATATTGAGTTTTCCCTATTTTCAACTCCGAATCAGAAGCGGTATTGATGAAGTACTGATATGCTAACATAGATGAAACCCAAACCGAGCATTCGTGCTCAGAATATTGCCATGATGCTTGGCGAATTGAAATCGACAATTCTTAAAGTCGCCCCCAGATGAAATATCTGCATTAAGAGCTCGTAGCATCAAGCTCAGCGAAGAATTATATCCTCATATTTCCCGAGCAAGTCCAAGAACCCTTGTGATGAACAGCAGCCGACTAATTGGAAGACGTTTGAAGGACTTTCTGCAGGTCTGACTACAAAAGGAACGTCATATCCCGCCAGGCCGAGTACTTGATCCCCGACTTGTGTCGATTTGGGTGCGAGCCCAAGCAATCCGGTGTCCGTTATGAAAAGCCTTCGACCATGGCAACGACCGAATATGGCCTCAGCTTCAAATCTGAAGCTAGGGCTTGTGTATTCGCAGAGATTCCTGATCTGCCACGTCTCACTGCTTCCGCATGTGCGCCCGGTCCTATTGTCAGAGGCTGGAAAATCCATTGCTGCGGGAGATTCAACATCTCCAGGGAGATTCTGAGAATTGAAGGCTTGAATCTCGTCCAGAACCGAGTAGACATTGGCCGCTTTTCGCCGCTGAGGATCCTCAACGATCGCTTCAGCAAATAGCGATAGCCCGACATAAGTTTCAGGGGTTTTCAAATGAGCTTGGTTACACATACGCCTCCACTGCTCCAAGGGGAATATGTTTTCAGCGACGTCGCATAGTTCGCCAAGCCTTAGTATGGTTCCAGCCAACCCCCCAAGGACACGGAGCTCAATGCTTTCCAAGCCACTGAAACCGACATACTTTGAGAAAGACCAGGTGGACGGCGACGCATGATCCCTTTCTCTCTCTATGTCGACGAACCTCTCTGGTCCTTTCCAGAATGGTCCGTTGTATAAATACACATCCGTAATGCTCCAGTCTGTCGCCCAAGATGGCAATCCCGAGATCCTTGTAGGAGTGATGACAGTTTGGAGAACGTCCAAACCGATGGCGTCAATTAGTTGCCGAGAGAGTTGTGTGAAAACTTCGGCTGCCGGGCGACCGTAGTCAACTCCACCAATGTCAAATGCTGACTCTTCATGATTGGAGATTCGTGCTTCTGGGTTGGCGTCTAAGTATTGCTGTGAATCCCAGTCTAAGAGAGGCAGGATGGCAAATAGCTTATCCCTAGAGTCTGTAGCATCAAATTCCCGGGTCCTTTCCAGCAGTCGTAAAAGCCGCACAGGATATGACGGGCGCCATGAATAGCTGTCAAACCCGCCAGATATCAGGGATTGAACTGTATAAGGCAACCACTTGGATCGTCTGGGGTTGTAGAACGTGTACCTCAGCTGCCGAAACGCATCCCAATCAACCTCCTTCTCCCCACAAACAACGACTGCTGCCATCGCGACCCGAATTTCTTGCATAACCCAAACACGCGTGAACCAACTGCGCCTCAAAAAGCGCTCGATCCTTTCTCCATCGGGTCTTTTGGGCCGTTGTCCGGTATGAGATAAAGCATGGAGGGCCTGCACCCAGTCCATGATCGCGTCGCTATCGTCCTCGTCGCTCTTCTCTCCAAGGTAGATTACTACGCGAGAGGCGGTGCGGTAAATGCGAGTTATCAAATTCAACTGATGATTACGCTCAGGTATATCTGATTGATTGATGCAGATAGCGTCTATCCAAAGCATCCGGGGCACTTCGGCGGATCGCAACCGCCGGAGGGCTGCAGCACAGCTCTTCGTGGCGTGAAATTGTGTATCCAGGGTCATCTCAGATGCTCCTGATATGACAGAGATATGCTCAGTCTCTGACGGATCGCCCCAAGCGTACGAGAGGGCTTCGTACGATGGGGCGCCTTCTAAGTCGAAAGAGAGAAGTCGGATTGAAATGGGGTCATCCCGTCGACCAGGCTGCAGCTCCAACAGTCTAAACGAGGCGTCATGATCTAGCTGCAGGCCAGCAAATGGAGAGCCTAGTGAAAGGCTCATGCTGATAGGTGGCTCAACCACGGGAACTGTGGCTAGTAAGCAGAGATTGTCAAAGTACAGAGCTTTCCGATGCTTGAGAGCACAAAAGTCCCGCGCAGAAGTGTTGCCTGTGTCGTCCTCAAAGCCGCTGCGGGGTTTGCTCTGCAGGTAAAATTTCTGGGGCCACTCGTTGGTTCCCACATACGTTGTGTGGTTGTGATCGGCACGCGAGTCCGGCAGGAGATGGAAGATGCAGGGTGACTTTACTGCCTGTACCATGTGCGTGCGGATCTTGGCAGAGACAATTTCTTTCCGTCATCCACGGCTTTCGTAGTTTCTGATCACATAATCCGTGAAGAGGTATCGCGTTTACTCTTTTAAGCCTCCATTTGGGATTCGGGATATCAAATCTTCAAGAGACGCTGAGTATCTTTGCCGGATGGAAACGCTTCTCCAGATAGAGAGAACAGAATTATTCTTCTAAAACTTCTAATAATTTTGACTTGTTGAAGCCATTTAGGCTATTTCAGTAAGTGGACTTTGTAAATGAGATATAAATGCGCATTCACTGAATCCTCAGACAATGTTAGTCTGTCCGTTAAATATGATATGATCCATCTGCAGGCTTGCCTTACTTCAAGATGTATAAAGTATCAGAAGCCCCCCAGCACAACCTCCTTGGAACGCACAGCGCAAATGCCGTCCTCCCTTGAGATTATGAGCGTAGAATCCTGATTGTGTTATGCTAAATGATAGCGAACGCGGAAAGCTTGAGTAGACATACTGCTCAAGTTTGGTTGCCTCGCCTCTACAGCACCAGCATTGGTAGAGTATTAACTGCGAATCATTTAAATGTTATGACAAGTGACAGAGCGAGGTTCTGTGCTGGGAAACATACAAGACCAAGTACCGGCTCCCCCGAGAATCAGGTTGGCAACCAGCAATGGATATCTCAGATTTCGCCATAAGCTGTACAACTCAACGAAGAGAGAAGAATTGCTTTGTCAAAACATACCTAACAATCGCAACATGCCTAACTAAACCAGCAGAATGATGACATCAAAGACTTGGCAGTCAATGCCTAAGCGAACTGATCGCGTCGAAGGGTTGTAGAGTTCCATATTCCTCCCTAGAAAGCACAGAAAGACCAATGTTGCCTGCGCAGCTTGAGATTCTCACCAAATGAGCTTAGACTTCAAGCTAGGAGGCCTAGGTTCATTCTCATCCTAATAAGGTCACGCAAGTCGCCCATTTAAGAAAGCCATGAGTTTTCCAAGGTTGACCTCCGGCAAACCGTCCGCGAAAACCAATTGTCGGCTTGAGTCATCGTCGTCGATTGGTTATTGTATTTGCAGAGGTAAGAAGAACATAAGAGGGCGACGGACGGCATAAAGAATGTGATCTTGCACCCATCTCATGGAACTTCACGTACCTTTTCCTGAAAACGGTGTTCGAATCACCTATGGACGATTGCATTGGCATCAGAACTTACACTTGATAGCCCACTGTCTAACTCATAAATGGCACCAAGAGCACGATGCTGGTCATCGGTGGCATATAAAACATGGCATGCCTAGCTTTTGGACAGTCGTCTTGATGGGCAATAGTGCTGCTTGAGTGCAATTATGACAGGCTCTTCCCAGTTCTCCGCATGAATCAGAAAGACTGCAAGGTAGTACATAGCAAGGTTAGATGTGAGGCACATGCGTGTTACTCTGTCTTGGATTGTCGAGGATACATTTGAAATAGGCAGGGAGATATGACGACGGACGATGGTTGGTACGGACTTGGGAGATTTACCACCTTTGTTCAGGGTGACAAAATTTGGTTCGTGAGTTTCGTGGAGTGGGCTGCAGAAACTGAAGTGCAGCCCAACTGATTGGATGCTTGTCAAGCTTTCAATAAGTTCAAACACGTGTATGCTTTTATTGTTCCCTGAAGACTGATATTTCAACAGTCCTTGGGTGGTAGGTAAACCGACGGAGATTGCTTCAGTTACTGAGACTCCCTAGAAATGATTTAAATCATCTTAAGCATTTGGGTGGAAGCTTTTTTCCCCCAACGTATCCATTTCAGCCTCTTAATGCAATTGAAGGTGCTTCAATTGCCGATTCGTCGGGGTGGCTCACATGAAATGCAGCGATTGTTATAAATTGACGCCAAAGCCTTCGCTGACAGCCCTCAATTGAGTTCGTTCTAGCGAATAGACGAAGAGAACCGATACTGAATAGAGATTTATAGTAAAAGGCTGATCCAGATGGCAGCCCGTTTGGTGCAGTAAACAGTGAAGGGAGACTGCAACAGCATCTTTAGACCTACCTGCCCAATGAAGCCGTAATGTGTGACGGCGTAGACCCCGAGACCCTCATCGTCGGGTTTTGTAAGTTGCATGTCAAATCCCATGTTCTACTTTATATTGCCTCCATCAGCTCGCGGCCGTGGTGGGTAGTGTGTCAGGGTCATCTGTACACACATAGGGCCGTCGTGAAGGTGACAGACCACGAGGGACAAGAGTACAGGAACAACAACAACAACAATGTGAGAGCTGGACCCAACTTCATTGGATCTCACAGAGCTCAGGATTTGACTATTGCTTCGCAATTTTGCACCACCAAAAACGAGTCTCTCATTCATTACGAGGCCATATCTTCGTCGCCATATCTCCCCATTGGCATCAGAGTATTATTCCCGCATAAGCAATCCTCAAGGGCTGCTATTTGCCGCCAGCGACTTTTCAGTCATAATGAGAGTAACCAGGACAAGCCTTGCTGGCCGCAGCCCGCTGCTTACATTTGTCTTTACGGAAAAAAAAAACAAAGATGACATCCTCTCTTTAATACCCCACACTCCTGCTAGCGCGGCGGAGAAAGTCATGGACATAGCTCAGCGACCCGTTCGCTATAAATATCAACACAGGCCAACGCAAAATTTAACTCACAAGCCAAATTTTGACTCACACGGGGAGTCAGTCAGAGAGAGGGAGCTATAAACCTGCTTCACCGCAAGTCTATGTTCACATGCAGCCAGCACACGAACCACTCACAAACGAGTTGCATTGATGTCTGGCCATTTCTCAGATGGCTTGCCGTGTTTCCTTACGAATAAGATCAGACCGGAACAGAGAGACATCAGTGAGACTACACAAGCCATACTAAAGGAGTTGAACGTCGCCCCTGGCACACATATTTCCATCACTTGACACTCGCATTTGGGAAATTTCAGCAAGCTGAACCCTGAGGAGTAAAGGTGCCAACAACCCATTTGCTTTTGAGAGCTGAAAGGAGGAAAACAGAAGGGCCTTTCATATATGCATTGATGGTTCCACCTCATCACTGTCACAACTGAAACTTAATCACCGACTACTCTAATGACAGCTTCGTCGGGTCTCACCAAATAAGGTATTGACAGGAAAAGAGCACAGCCGGGAATGCAAACTCAATCATGCAAATCGATGGTTCACCAGGCTAGATAAGCCCATAAACGCAATCGAAGCAACGCTTTGATTAAACTGTATAGTCTACCCATCTGTCTTCTCTTGGTATAGACGCATTATGCAAAAGCGCCCACGATAGCCATCAGCGACGCACCGCCAATGACGGCCAGGTACGCATTCAGCCTCTTCCTGCCGTTGAGTATCTTGTAACTCTTTTCTGAAAGAAAGTCCTCTGCCAAGAGCTGCACTAGCCCGGCGAATAACAGCAAGCCGGCCGAAATGGCATTCATGAAGCCCACCATGAGCAAGCCCGTCTGGCTCATTGGGTCGTACAAGTTATGAACAATCAATCCAATGAGTTGTCCAAGCGGCGTTGTGCCTCCAAAAGCAAGAACCATGAGCCAGGGTCGCATTGAGGACCGAGGGAGCTGGATCGCGGCGATACGGCTACCGAGGGCAAGGCCCTCGAATGTCTGGTGAAAGCTGATGGCGATGAGGAAGACAATGAAAGTTGGGCCCGTCGCGACGGAGATGGCCATGCCAATGAAGACACTGTGGAAGAGAATGCCGCCCTCGAGGAGCAGACATTGTCGGAGCAGCCGGCTTTGTTCCTCTTCGGTGACGACTTGTGGTGCACCCGGGGTGACCGTGATCTTGGGACGGTCGTCTGAGCTTCTGCGCCTGGGCCCCTCGGCAGTCGCGGGATCGAGTTCGTCGATGTCGAGGTCGATATCGGATGCGTCGTCGTCGAAGCTGTCGCGTTCGTTTGCGAGCCGGGAATTCGCTTTTGCCTTTGTCGGCGTGGAGCTCGGGAGAGGCGAGGCGCCGGCCATCAGCCCCTGGGTCGACTCCATGTTATCGAGATTGATGTCTGATGGACGGTGCGAGCCGCCTCTGCGCGTGGCTAGACTGCTAGCCGCCTGCCTGCCTCCACCCGATGCGCCTTCGTTGTCCTCCTCGTCCCAGTACTCGTACTCGTGCGAATGTGAGTGGGAGTGGCCAGCTCCGCGGGTGGCCAGATACGACTCGAGGGCCACGACAGACAAGGCGGCAATCATGGCCACCAGGCCGGCCGTCTGCGGATAGCCTTTGTTGAAGATGTCGGGAAGGCATGGATCGGTAAGGGAGGTAAAGGCTGTCGGGAGAAGATGTACGAAGGATGTTGCGAGCAGGACGCCGGTTCCGAAGTGCTGGCAGTAAAAGATGATCCTACTCTGAGGTCGGCCTTTCGATGTTCGCCGGGGGAGGAGAGGAATGCCGCATGCTGGTGCAACGAGGTCAGCTGGTGCTCCCTAGATCTTGGCAACCTTGAGGGCCACGTCGACGACGAGAATCGCAAGACGCGAGCCCTCGTTTGTAGTCCCCCAAAGTCGCAATTCATGACTGCCATTGGGAAAAGCTACTTACATATCGTGCTCAATGCCAGGATCAATATCAGGGCACCGATATGTAGCGGCGTGTCGTAGGACTCCTTCTTTGAAGAACCGCATTGCGGCTTCGTCGCATTGGCGCCGGCAACGACCTCGGCGCTCGTCATCGCACCGCCATGTCGTTTCGAAAGCTCCGCGAGCAAGAATTCGGTCGGTATCGAGGCCCACGAGGCGGCGTCTGTCAATCGGGAAAAAGCAAGTCAGCACGACACGGGTGTCCCGGAGCTCGAGTTCAACACGTGGAAGCAGTCCAGCTGTCCGACGGCAACGAGCAAAAAAACGCACCTCTCGCCCAAGCTCCGGTAGCTCCTGTATCACCCATTCTGGACGGTCGTCGATGGTGATGTCCAGCTCAATCTCATGGCTGGCTCTGCACGACGGGGATGCAGACGGTAGGAGGGCGAGTACTCAAGAGAACAGAGTACAAACAAACCAGGGAGACGGAAGACGGATCGTGCCTCGTCTTCGTCCCAAGTCCCAAGTCCAAGGTATCCCGCCGGGTTTGGTGCTGGCTCAGGATGTGGATGCGGCCCCCAAAAAGGTGGTGGACGAGGGATGCGGGACCCGAGGGGAACGGCAGCAGCGGCCAGCAGTTCCACTGTCAGCAGCTTCCGGTCCACTGTGTCCTGATTCCCCCTATGAAAACCTGCGCATTTTAGAATTGGGGGGCGGCTTGGCCCCTGGAAATTGGGAACGACCGGGGAGCACAGGGGCAGCCGCAATCTGCACTTGGAGCGCCTTCCCTGCGCCAGCGACGCACCCCGTACGTAATTGCGTCGGGAGGCGAGGGGACCATGTCTTATCAGGAGAGAACCTTATGTCAGCATTCAACAGGCGAGCTGCGATAAGATAAGAGCTGTCCGATGATGAAACAGACAGGGGCCAGCCGCTGCGCCTCGGCTGGATGACTAACCGATATCGATATCGCGATATCGGTCGTCTATCGCAACAGCTCCAGCCCAGCTCGCCCCAGCTCCGGGATGGTGTCCGTGTGACCACCTGCCTGTCTCTGACCCGTCTCTCTCGCTCTTGTGTTGACGTCTGTGACACATCCCTCCGTCACAACTCCCAACCTCGTCTCAACATCATCTCTGCATCTCTAGGTTTTGTCCGTGAACAGAGTGCTACACAATGGCGGGCGCACGACGACTTCAATTGGCCGGTTTGGCCCTGCTTGGTGGCGCTGCCGCCCTGCATATGCAGGACCAACAGGTACTTGCCCAGCAAGCGCCGCTGATTGCCGACGACACGCCTGTTGCATCGACATCGCCGTCCACATCTTCATCCAAGAGACCTCTGGTCGAGACCGAGGCTCTGCAGGACACCATCACCTCCGATAACCTCCTCGCGCGCGCAAAGGAGCTGTACGAGATCGCAAAGCTGGGAGAGGAGGAGTACAACCACCCCACGCGCGTCATTGGCAGCGATGGTACGCCCTGCCCCCGCGGTCCCACGTTCCACCTCCACTTGCTCACAATTCACAGGTCACCTCGGAACGTTGGACTACATCAACTTCAACCTCCAGAAGCTGGGCGACTACTACAAGGTCTGGAACCAGACCTTCCCCGCCGTCTCGGGCAATGTCTTCGAGTCCCGTCTTGTCATTGGTGACCAGATCCCCAAGTCCGCGTCGCCCTTTGCCCTGACGCCGCCGACCAAGAACAAGGAACCTGTCCACGGCGACCTGGTTCTCGTCAAGAACGAAGGCTGCGATGAGTCCGACTACCCTGCCGAGGTCGACGGCAACATTGCCTTCGTTCTCCGTGGCACGTGCCCCTTTGGCACCAAGAGCGAGAACGCCGGCAAGGCTGGTGCGATTGCTGCCATTGTCTACAACTACGAGAGCGAGACCGTCCACGGAACGCTTGGTACTCCTTCTCCCAACCACGTCGCCACCTTCGGCCTGGGTCTGGATGATGCCCAGCCCATCATCGACAAGCTTAAGAAGGGCGACAAGGTTGACGCCATCGCCTACATTGACGCTGTTGTCAACACCATTCAGACCACCAACATCCTGGCTCAGACTACTGAGGGCGACCCTGACAACTGCGTCATGCTTGGCGGCCACAGCGACAGTGTTACCGAGGGCCCTGGCATCAACGACGACGGCTCTGGCAGTCTGACTCTGCTGGAAATTGCCACTCAACTCACCAAGTTCAGCGTCAACAACTGCGTTCGCTTTGCCTGGTGGGCCGCTGAGGAGGAGGGCCTTCTCGGCTCCGACTACTACGTCTCTGTCCTCAGCCCCGAGGAGAACCAGAAGATTCGCCTGTTCATGGACTACGACATGCTCGCCAGCCCCAACTACGCCTACCAGGTCTACAACGCCACCAACGCCGTCAACCCTACCGGCTCCGAGGAGCTCCGCGACTTGTACGTTGACTGGTACAAGGCACACGACCTTCCCTACACCTTCATTCCTTTTGATGGCCGAAGCGACTACGATGCGTTTATTCGCAACGGCATCCCTGGTGGAGGTATTGCAACAGGTGCTGAGGGCATCAAGACGAAGGAGGAGGCCAAGCAGTTCGGCGGCAAGGCTGGTGACTGGTATGATCCTTGCTACCACCAGCTTTGTGATGATGTCGGCAACGTGAACTTGACTGCTTGGGAGATCAACACCAAGGTAAGATGATTTCGACTGGTGACATTTTTTCTGAGACTAACTTCTCATCAGTTGGTTGCGCACTCTGTCGCCTCGTACGCCGTTTCGTTCAAGGGCTTTCCCGAGCGTACGGATGCCGTCGTCGCCTCCGCCTATCCTAAGGAAGTCAAGTACCACGGCAGCAAGCTCTTCCAGTAGTCTGCTTCGAGCGCACCTTCAGGTATCCCAAATATTGGATGGGATTGTTTCATTATGGGAGATGGATATACTTCTCTGGTCAATATAGGAGACTCTTGAAGCTCCTCATGGGCATGCCGAATTCTGTCGGCCAAGGCAATGGGTGACACATAACGGAGCACAGCATAATTGATTGTATTTTCAAGAGACTTTGACCTGGTGATTTCCATTGGCCATTGTCGACGACGATTACGTTCTCTGGAGGCCCTTTCCGGGGCAGGATCCAGTGACTGACCCCAATACCCTACAACAGGTTGCGAAGATGACGGTCCCTCAAGGCTCTCACTTGCTTGGTTCTCGCGGTATTGAGCATCAGCCCCAAAGGCCCTCAATTTCAGAACTCGATTGTACTTCATCCCAATACCAAATAAACGCCCCATGACCCATTTTCCCAACCTTGAGCAACCTTTTCACGACAACTAATCTAAGCACCCCATGTTCTAAGAAATCCACAATCTTCTCAACACCAACTCCAACGTGGCGTTCTTCGCCCCAAAGTCGCCCTCCAACCTCCTCAGCTCCGCGATCAAGTCCTCTTGCATCCCCTGCAGCAGCTCCCTCGTGGACTCGAGCGCGCCGCACTTCTCCATCTCCCTCACGATGTACTGCTTCATCTCCATCGCCATCGGGCCGGGCTGCTTGTGCTTGAGCACACCCATGATCTCGGGGCGCGTGCGCGCGCGCTGCAGCGTGAGGATGATGGGCAGCGAGATCTTGCCCTCGTCGAGGTCCTCGGCGAACCCCTTCTGCTTGGCGTAGGCGTCGGAGACGAGGTTCTGGTAGTCGTCGCGGATTTGGAAGAAGAGGCTTAGTTGGCGGACGAAGGGGCGCGGGTCGAGGTCGAGGACGCTGGGTGGGGTGTTAGTGGATGGTTAGGGAGGGAGAGAACGGGGTGGCTTACTCGGTCCTTGTTGACTCTGCTTGGAGGAGTCTGACGCAGAGACGGAAGAGGCCGCCGGTTTCTGGGGTGTTTGGTCAGTATACTTGGGCGTGTTTTGTGGTGGCGGAGGGCGACTTACTGTTGTCAATCATCTCCATGTAGTCCTCCGTCGAGGGGCAGTCGACGTGGTATTTCCAGTGCAGGTCATCTGCCTGTCCGACGAAAAGACTTTCCAACTCCTCTATTGCTTCGTATTAGTTGTTGATGCTTTCCAACACTCCGACGGGGCTGGACGTACCGATGAGGATAGCCGTCTTCAATGGGCTGCGCAGCTTCTGCAGCTCGGCGAGCACCATGACGAAGATGTGGTTCGCCGCGTTGATGCACTGCGCTGTTCCGAAGATCATGTGCGCCGCGGGGCTGCCTCGCCGCAGGGTAGAGTCGTCCTCGATGTCGTCCAAACTGGATTGTCATATGTCAGCGCCTTTCTGTCTTCGTGTCATTGCGAATGAGAGGGTTTGTTCTCGTACATAAGAGATGAATCGTGGAGCATGCTGATGATGGTCTTGATGGTGCGCAGCGAGTCTTCGGGGACCTCGAGTCACCAGTTGAGCGCGTCGATGAAGGTGTCCCGGACGCCTTTGGAAGGTAGCGTGGCGAGGTACTTGATTGGAGCGATGACGGCCTGCGAAGATGAAAGATGGGTTAGCTGTTGATCCTTCGCTTTAGGGATATTTTGAGGGGCTAACTAACGTGGTCGGGAGCAGCCTCCAGTCGGGACGCGTAGGTGGTGAGTCCAGGTCCTTCCGGAAGCAGGGTGTCGATCTTCTTCTTGGACTTCTGGGAGATATCCGACATGTCCCGGACACCGTCTGCCTCGTCTTCGCATACTTCCTTAACGTCGGCGATATGCTCCTCCTCATCTTCACAGCTGCAGAACGTCGTCGATGGCGGTGTCGAAATAGCCTGGTCAACAGAGCCCGGAGACGCATCCGACGAGGAGAACTCGTCCTCAACCTCAGTAGTCGGCAACGAGTCCACACTCTCAGACACAACCTTCTCCTCACCGGCGCCCTCGCCGTCAGCCACATACCTAAACGCCCCGTCCACAAACTCAACCTCGGGCTGCCGCAGGTCCGCCTTGGACGGGTACCGCCTGGTATACACGCTCCACAGCTCCGAGCCGCAGACCGCGCGCTGCGCGTTCTCGACGTAGAGCTCCTGGTTCTCGGGCAGCCGGCCGCCCTCCTGCGCGCGGAGCGCGTCGAGCTGGCGGAGGTGCTCGGCCTCGAGCTCGGCCTGCTTGGCGTACAGGATGCGGAAGGCCTCGGGCTCGGAGTACCCGCCGAACCGCATGAGGACCGCCACGGCGTTGAAGGGGAGTTCGGAGCCCGGGGTCTCGAGGTGGCATTTGATTTCCTTGGGCCAGCTGTAGAGGTCGTTGACGACGGTGATGGCGAAGTTGGCGAGGTCGACTACCGGGCGGAGCTTGGCTTTGTCGGAGGGGGAGATGCGGAGGCCCATGTCAAAGCAGACCATTTCAGCGGTGACGCTAGGAATATGGGTCAGCAAAATTGATCTCAATCCGAGTCCCGTGGATAGAGGTTTTGGTGTTTTCACTTACTCAAGACCCGAGTTGACCTTCCGCACGGGCAAGTACTCATCCAAGGTCCTGAGGTTGTCCGGAGCAAAGGTGGCCACGTCAAGGCCCTGGCTGTAGGACGACATGATGTCCATAGCAAGTTGCTGATCCAGCATGATGAGCTCAAGGACAAGAGCAGCCTGCATCTGTTTTGGCTTGAAGTCTTTATCAGAACTGCCCGAGCTCTGGGTCTTGCTGCCAGGCGTTGAGGCGCCTTGCAGCGCATCTTGGATATCACTGTTGACTTTCTCAATCTGTCAAGAAACTCTGCGTTAGTCCACAATATTCAAGACAGCTCCTGCTCTGGGCTTGGTGTATATCTCACCTCGTCTCTCTTCGCAATATCATAATAATCATCATTCAGAATAGTAAAGTCCGCAAATCGTGTGATGGCCGGCAGCCGCTCCGGAAGACAGTTCGCCATAGCCAGCGCCATTGGGTGGACCAGCCCGAGCCCTGGGATATCTGCCAATGTCTTGGACTCAAGCTGCGTTGACATGGCGTCGTTGTAGAAGGTCTCCATCCCCTTTGACGGCTCTACGCAGATTTGGTAGTTGCCGTGCACATGAGGCCGGAACTTTGACCGCAGCCCCGACGAGGCGACGATGTCGTCTGGAAGTGGTTGCGCGAAGGTAGGCATGGTGTGTGTGGGTGGGTGTGCGTTGAGCGCAAGACGGCGATGCGCAGTGGTTTGCTGTAAAACCCAAATGCAGGTCAAATCGCCGTGTAAGTCAAACGAAGTCCGATGTTGAAAATTTCAAGTAAAGTCAATTGCCGTGTAAGTGTGGTACGATGACGCGCGCCGCTAATGCTGGGGAGGACTGGTGCTCGCGTCTTTGTGGTGTGTTTTTCAACACGTATAAGAGCAACCACTACTGGAGACGGCATGAGCTTCACGGCGATGAATGCCATTTCTTGTTATCTGAGGGTATTCTAGGTGACGATCAGATAGAAACCCTTTCGAGTCAGCATCCCCGGACTATGGCGGGGTCACGTAAGTCGCATCCCAAGGGTGTGCATCACAACGGCCTGGGTTCTTGCGGGCGCGCCCACGATTATCAAAGGCCTCACCGGATTGGACCTGAGATGTATATTAAACCAAGCAAGGGTGTTGCCTCGCGAGTCGGAGTCGCAATCCGAGGGGCACGGCTTCCCCCACTCACCCTCGGACGTTGCGAAAACATCACACTAGAGAACCCCGGCACGTAACACACACACTGTCAAGAACTGTCTAGCCCTAGCAAACGCCGCCCCGCGCCGTGCCCGCACCGTGCCCGTGCCGAGCCCGCGCCCAGGCCGAGAGGATCTTGCTCTCGACAGCAGCGGTCGACATGACTCGGCGTGTAAACAACGACTCTTGCGATGCCCACTTCACTCTGCCGCGCGTGCTCGGAATGGCTGGCGATGCCAGCTGCGTTCAAACGCCAATATGTCTCGTTATGGGGAAAATCCCGGAGTACGCGAGCTTGCGTCTGTGAATGGAAACAGGGGCACGGGAATCTTTTCCTGTTTGCCATTTAAACTTTCTGATCGGAAAAAGAACGGCTTCATGATGTCAAGGCTGTGAGAGAGCCCCCCTGCTTGTGGTTTTGATCTCTCAAGGGTGTATGACTAGCGCGGAGATCAGCTTTTCTCCCGTCTTTCTCTGCTCTTGGCAAATACATGCAGTTGGTGTTTCGTAGGATATCCGCCGTCATCCCCATCCACGGCTGCCGTCGCCAGAGGTCGCCTTCCAACCAGCAACATTCACTCTTCTTGTCAGTCTCTCCGAAAACTCTCAGCCCAATGTCGATCCTCAAGCGGCTGTATGTTGCGGGCTTCGACGCTGAAGCACTCCGCAATGCCGGCTTATTGCCCTACTTGGTTGCTGCCTCTCTGATGCTCATCGCTTACATGGCGATGGGAGAGAAGGCGGTCGGCAAGGGTGGTTTCCCTATCGCGAATCCCATACGACCGTTTGAGTTCGTCACTTTATTCCGTCTGGCCGCCTTCATCAAGGCGCCCAGGAAGCACTTTGCTTCGTATGCGGAAAAGTATCATGACACGCCGTACTGGCTGAACATGGAGTTGGGGAAGGCGCTCATCGTACCGTCTTCGATGATTAGCGAAATTCGTGTGAATCCTGTGATGAGTAGTCTGAAAGCTATCCAAGAGGTATGTTGTCAGCATGGAAAGTCTGAACTCATGTTAACTTATATCAAGGTCCAAAATGGTTCTCTGAAAGGGTTCGAGCCAATCGGCGATGTTCTTGACCAGCATATGTTGAAGTTGGTCAAGGACCATCTGACAACCAAGAATCTGGGTATGTAAATCATCAGGCTTTGAAAAGGCGCTCAATCCTTTGAGGCTTTGTCGGCTTATAGTCAAAATTCAGGTAAAATGATCCCAGCCATCTCGGAAGAAGTTTCAGACTCCCTCTCGGAGGTGTATTCAGACAGCTATGGTGAGTTTCAAACTTGCCCCGTTTGCTCAAAGTGCATTGTTGAAGCTCACATCAGCAGAATGGAAGGACTTCAAACTTGGCGCACCCATCGTCAGCCTCGTAGCCAAAACATCTTCAAGAGTCTTTGGAGGCAAGACCTTTTGCCGCAGCGAAGAGTGGCTCGGGGCGATGGCCAAGTACACAAAGCACTTCCTCATTGCCAGCATCACGCTGCGCTTCTTCCCGACATGGAGCAAACGCTTCGTGCAGTGGATTCTTCCTCCCTGCTGGCTTCTGAGATACGACCTCGTCAGATGCCGCCGCGTCCTTAAGCCCATCATGGACCAGCGCGCCCGCGAGGTTGAGCGGGCAAAGGAGAGCGGCCTCGAGCCGGAGTATGCTTTCGATCAGGCGTTGGCTACGCTCAGCAGAAAGATTGACATGGCGACGGCTCAGATTAGTCTGGCGATGGTAGCTATCCATACTACCGCGGATCTTCTTGAGAAGACACTGCTTGCTCTATCAGAGCACGAAGAGCTTATTGACCTGCTCCGTCAGGAGATTGTCTCTGTGTTGAGTGTTCATGGTCTTAGTAACGCAGGGCTGGCTCAACTCGACTTGATGGACAGTGTTCTGAAGGAAGTGCAGCGGATTAACCCGGTTGCCAACTGTCAGTACATGTTCCCCCTATTTCTTGAATTTGAAAACTAACATTTGTTTTAGGCTTCCTCAACCGCATCGCTGTGGAGGATTTCCGCCTCGCCAACGGGATGCTCATCCCCCAAGGAACGCTTCTTGGAGTGGGGCCAACTCACATGTGGGACAACTCCTTCTGCGAGGACGGCGAGAAGTTTGACGGTCTCCGATTCCACCGTATGCGCCAAAACCCGGAGTTGAAGCAGCAATCGTACTTGGTTTCTACCAGCCCCAACCAGCTCGGCTTTGGTCACGGCTCTCACGCTTGTCCTGGAAGGTTCTTTGCCGCGAATGAGGTCAAGATCATCCTGTGCCACTTCCTTCTGAAGTACGAGTGGAGGTTCCCCGTTGAAGGTCCGCATGTAGTTAATCTTGGAGTGCTGAATGCAGCAAGTCCATGGACAAAGATTCAGATCCGCAGGAGGAAGGAAGAGATGGATATTGGGGAACTCATTGTACCTTATTAGTTCGACATTACCTCTGCTCAAACTTGTCTCACTCTTACATCACTTTTGCGGTTAGTAAGTGAATGCGAAAGCTTCAAAAACGATATCAGAAAGGCCAAGGCCCTGGTACGTTGTTGCTACGGAATGCTGTAGTACATAAGACAGATTACAAATTCCGCTGGATTCTGGGAAGAAGAAAAGCACAAGAAATTCCACAATTAGCAAACGTAGTAGAATTATTGAAGCAACTTAGAAATCAGATCACTTTGAATGGCTTATGGATATTGTAGACTCTACACATGGCCAGCTAAATGACCTTAGCAAGTATGCTCAAGTTGTCCTGTTATACTCTTTGTCTGAGTCTAATGTTGAGTGGACCTCGATCCCAAAGGAGGTAGTTCTTCTGCCGCCCTAGCCAATTCTGCCCAGGCACATCATCAAGTTCCAGATCGAATCTCCAAACCAATCTAGCAATGATGATGCAGAGCTCGGCATAGGCGAGACTTTGCGCAACGTTGGTCAGTATCGTCTATCAAGAGGTGTGTGGCACAAGGATTTAAAGAAGTCAAACGTACTGTCTCCCGATGCAGTCACGAGGCCCAAATGAGAAGGGCTGAAACGCTTCTCTTTTGTCGCTGAGATCGATCTTGTCATTTGACCATCGCTCAGGGAGGAACGACTCGGGCTCAGAGAAATTCTTCGCGTGGTGGTACATAGCGTACTGCCATATCGACACAATAGTCTTTCAAGGGGTTCGCGTTAGTTAATTCGCGAAGAATACTTTGTAAGGCAAGAATAGGACAACCAAGACGTGATGCCTTACTCCTGCGGGGATGTGGTGACCCAGAACGACGTCTCCCTCCTCTCCTATGCGACGCGGCATCCCTGAGGCACCCGGCGGATACATTCTCAGGGATTCATCAATGACGGCTCTGAGGTACTCAAGGCTTTTGGTACTTGAGATAGTAATCTCCTTTTCTTCTTTGAAAGAGCTCCGTACTTCTTGATTCAGTCTCGCCATGACATCGGCGTTTGCTGCCAGAAGGTACGTGGTGCCTGCTAGAGCCGTGGCAGTTGTGTCATACCCCGCCATTGTCAAGATCTGGGCATTCGCTTGGATATCCTGCAAGCTCAAGGGTTGCTGATAACATATACGGTAAGCCTTTGATTGACATCCGACCGAAGTAAGCAGAGTACTCACTTTAGCATCGAGCCCAGACGTAGGCTCCTTCATGGCTTGTATAAGATCAGGTCGATCAGCCTCATCGAGCCGCCTTTCAACAATGTCGTTTGTGAGCCGTACCATATTCTCGTGTTTTTGAAGAACAGACTTGGGGGCCATTGCCATGAGAACGCTGAAGACGAGTTGAAACTGCTTCAAAGCGGTAGCAAGAGCAATCGCGGGCAGTGCGTCCAAAAAGAATTGAGCCCAAGGGTGGTATTTTCGTGTATGAAGACAATGGAAAGAATCGCCAAAGCCCAAATCCGTGATGATATCCAAAGCCACGAAGTCGAACAACTTGTTCATGTCGATTGGCGTTCGGGGCCCTTGTGATTGTTCATGCTCAGCCAAAATGTTGAACCTGCAGCGGGGCATCATCCATCAGTAACTAGAACCTCGATGTAGCGCCTTACTGTTACCTCGTCCGAGGCTGAAAAGAATGAAACTCACAATTGATCGACGTGAGACTTTATCAGACCTTCTTGATCGAGCACCGCTGAGTTGGTGAAGCCGCGGCTCAGGATTCGCCGTAATTGGGTATGTCTGTCCTTTGGTGCTCCAAGAATACTGTCCTTGGCCTCGGCATAATGCACGTAATCTTTGCTGATTTCGCCTCTTGCGGTTTTCCGGCGCCCGTAAATCTCTTTCCACGCGTCTGGTGAGCAGAAGACTAGCTCATCCGGAGCAACTCGTACGATATCGCCGTACTTTTCGTGCAGTTGCAAGATCTTCCGGTGCCCCTGACCCGTGGCACAAGTGACTGCAAAGGGTATGCGCGATGCTGCCCAAAGCCTCGGCCCAGGGAATTTGCGTAGAGGATGGAGGAGGACGTTGTATGAGATCCTCCAAAGCGTGTACAGGACACTCTGCAGCATGTCAGACCAACCTTCACTGCACGTTTATGGAAATTTCTTCATCACTTACAACGCAAAATAGCAGCGTGAACATTCTCCTCACACTACCAGACTCTAGCCCAACGGGGGGCGAGCTCCAAAGTAGCGACGAGGTCATCTTTGGCGATAACTTCGAGAACCAACAAGAGGAACGCACCTGGGGGTCTGACAAACACGCCAGCAAACATTCGAGGCTTCGAGCTTGAAGCGGGCCTTCGTTGCAGCCGGTAAGAGGTTGCGCGAACATGTTCCCAAACAGTACAGCAACGAAGCTCCTCAAAATGATACCCTGCAGGCAAGGGTCTCACTGGAACTCGCGCCGAGGTTGTGCCCAGGGTATCCCGAGTCATTGGCTCGGCTTCCTCCCCGGTAATGCCAATGCACATGTTCCTCTTGCCGTGCTACATCTTGATCTGCACCTGCAACCGCGAGTCGTGTTCTTCATCACAGCCTTATGCTCGTCTTTGGGGGCTACGGGCTTTACGCCGATCACAACTCATTTTCATTTTCGGCCAGTCCGACTTCAGTTACGTCCTTGGCCAAGTCGCGCACGCGAGATCTTTCGGGCCTTTTCAAATGGCCTCCAGTTTCATACTGTTACTACTACTACACCGCACACCGCCGAATCTCAATTTTGGCTGAAGGGTCTGAGTCGAGATTCACGCCGAGCACCCGAATCTTTGGCTCTTGGCCCTTTATCACTCTCCACTCGTACCCCAGGATCAGCTGAGTCAAGATCACTTTGATCTCGGCCGCGGCGAGAATCCTGCCCGGGCACGCGTGATTGCCGTGTCCGAACCCCAGGTGGTTAATGCTGGTCGTTACGAGCTGGGCAACGTTTTCCTTCCCGGGAGTCTGTCGCATCTTCAAGAAGCGGTCCCCGATGAAGGTATGCGGCTCAGGGTAGATGTCAGAGTCCCAGTGACGCTCTGCTGAGACGCCGATGACAGTGCCTTCTGGCAATATCACGCCATCTGGAAGAGTCATCTCCTCGGTGACTTCGCGGGGCATGGCGACTGTTCAACGACATGACTTGTCAGCATCACTCCGTTGAAGACTGCGTGAGCTTGTCCGCATGCGACTTACCAGTGAGAATGGGCTTGATTCTCATGCTTTCCTTGATGACGCTGTCAAGTAGCTTCAAATTGTAGAGGGACGTCTTGGACCATCCTGATTCCCCAATCACTTCCTTTGCTTCGTCTCTCAGGCGTTGGACCATCTCAGGATCACCGGCAAGATCGTATACCACTTGCGAAAGAAGATCGGTCGTGTTGTGCACGGAGGCAATGGAAAGGCCAAGCTGAAGATCCGCGCGATCAAACTTGCGACCATTCGAATACGTGTCCGACCACTCGATACTGTCGTTGTACTCTGTGGGAGTCTCGCCGTTCGCAACGGCTGCCGCTTTCTCTTGTTTTCGCTTCTCAATGACAGGGCGGATCAGACTTCGGGCCTGCTCCACTTGGGAACGAAGCTTGCGGCAAGGGGGCAGAAACCAGTGAACAAAGGGTCTCATTAATGCTGGAAACATTCTCAGACTCAGAGCTGCCAGGAAGCCGGTCATGATGTGACTGACGGCAATGCTGAGCCACGCCGGGTCACGGCACAGCTCTTCACCGAGGAAAACGCGCCCAGAGACACGAGCAACAAGCAGATTCAGACGCTGCTTGATTGGAACTTTCTGCCATTCTGTATAAGTGTTAGTCCACTGTTCTAATCCAAAGAAGTTCTGCATCTAATGGAATGTTCTTACCGTCGCTGTGAGGTATCTGTAAAATATCTTCAATGGCCATCTCGGACTCAGCCGGCAGAGGCTCTATAACACTCGCTAGAGACTGGTAAGCTAACTTCCTTAAAGTCTCATATCTTTGTACATACCAAGCTCCCTTGTCAACTTGTATTTGCACATATCCAAGACGACGGGCAGGTCGTTCAGACCGCTTGCAAAACCCTCGAAACCGGGGATTACATGAGAAACAAACTGAAACAACTTTTAGAACATACTCATCAAGAAGTGCAGAGAGTAGAAGATACCTGGGCCACGACCTTCCCAAAGTCCAGTCTCTTGTCATTTCTGATATCCTCTGCGTAGGGGGGAGGCAAGACGGTAAGTGTTCTTCCAGGACCAACGATGCGGAAGGGTTTGCCATTGGCTTGCTCAATTGCGCGCCCAAGAGCCTTTCTGCCATCGAGATAGAAGCTGAACTTGGGCTTGAGGTTGAACACGTCCCACCATTTGCCCTGGTCAAGTATGGGAAGGCTTGTAACTGAGACTTTGCCAGCCCTTCTTCGCCGTTCGGCCACTGCTTTGTAACTGAAGTAAAACAAGATAGTTGCAAGTATGCACCCATATAACGACGTGTTGGACGCCATTGCTGACGATTATTCGATACTATGCTTCCAGTCACTGGCTCAGGAAGTAAGAGGTGATCACTGCAATGAGGTTCAGGGCGGACTTGTGATTGAATGACATGAATGACCCCTACTAGTACTTGATCTGGTCTGCTTCAAGGGTCTAGCAGTCGAAGCGCTCCAACAAATGTTCACCGGTGGCGCCCCACTTCGTACTGCTCTGGGGTCGAGGCCTGGTCTCTCAACCCTGCGGCATATGCGCATCTAGGAATCGCCGTTTGCGTGCTATTGTGCCAGCTTTGTTTGAGCAGAATATTTCCTTGTATCCCCTGTATCAGCCACCTGTTTCTCTCTAGTCAGTTGGTTTCTCGGATTCTGTTGTCTTATCTGCAAAGGACCCTTGCCCCTTGCAGGATCACCATGACATTCGGTATTGCCCCATCCAGGCCATTGCTCAAGTTTATTGCACGTACAGATTGCAAGACTCCACTGAGCTGGGCGCGTTCAATGGAACCCATTCAATTGCTAAGCACGAGAGCTGATATTCAACTCGAACAAACTACGTCTGCATACGCGATTCAGCAGGGACATGTCAGCGACTCATTCGTACAGTGCAAGCTACATCAGGTAGCACTGAAAGTTGCAGGGGCTTGAAGAATGCACCCCTTACACAGTATCAATTTCAAGCGGGTCTCAACAAGCCCAGCAAGACAGCAAACCTTATCCTCCCACCGGCATCACCCTCACCTCAAACCCTCGAAGACGGGGTAGGCAGAAAATGTCGCGGATTACTCCGCATGCCGACAAGTGTTCCACTCTGATCACAGAGTACCGTTGACTGCACGTGCTGATATGAATGCAGGCAAGCTCTCCACGTGGGGCTAGGTCGCTTGGCAGGCGAGTTTGAGGTCAAGGTTGACGTCCATTTTGAGTATCCGGATGTTTGATGATCTATGGTGTTTCTTTGAAATGATTCAAATTGGGTATTGGGGATGAAGTGCCAATGCCCAATACTCATACAATCCTATCCTAGATTGAGACCTCATTGAAATGTAATTCGGAAGAAAGTTAGATGGTGAAGTTGAAGGTGAATGGTGAGACGAAAACGCCATGATTAACGAGGCGATGGCTGTGCGAAAAGTGCTCCAAAATATGATCTCTGATCTTAACGGCAGGAATTCAGCAGAAGTTGACAGCCGTCATCAGAGAGCTTCTTCATGCATCATCGAGTGCGACCGTTCTGTAATCAGGGCGCCTCGCAGAGTTGGGGAGCAGTCACTCTAGGGCACACATGTTCGGCTTCCGGCTCCTACGGATGGACTGTAAATGAGGAGAGGGGGAAGAAAATGGAAATTAAGAAGGCATCCGAGGTACAATATACAGCAAGGTACAGATATGGAAAAGGACCAAGCAACCCTAATAGATATGAAGGCATCGACGGAGGTAAGGAGGCACGTTACGCATTTACTCTCGGGCATGACGTTCGGCTAGGTTCCGACGGTAAAGAGGAAGAAGAATCCAGGGAGAGCCTAAAAAGAGGGCAGCATAGGCAATGCCGGGGAAAGACGGACAGTTGTGGTTTTGCAATAAGCTCTTAAGCTTAAGTTGACATGCAAGGTTTAATTGCTCTAGACGAGGTTCTCACAGACATGGCTTTGAGTTTTCAACCGTCAGTGCCCTCGCCCTATACGCCCTACATAATCAAATGCCATAGTTTGAGATTCAGGACCGAGTGGCAATACTTTAATATCAGTCTAAGATATCATCGTTCAGAGGATGCACCGGTCGTTGTTGTCATGCGTCGATAAGGGCTTGCATCCCACCGGAAGGTACCTGCCTAGGTAGGTGCGGATGCATCACAATTGGATGTTGTGCTACACCAAGGGGTATGAGGCTCCGACTGTAATTGTCATCAAATACTGACCTCATTATGGCCGTCGCCCTAACCAGTAGTCTACTTAGGTTTTCGTTAACGATTTCAGTCTCTCGCTCATAAAACGGCATTGATGGTAAAAAGAGATTGAAATGCCCCTCTCATGCCCGTATGGAGTAGTATGTTCCGGAATTCTCTACTTGAAGCTTACCGTCTGGACAGCACCTTCTTCATAGCTAGCTGAAATGTGAAATGGGTTATAGGTAGCAACGACCCCTGGCATTGAGGATGGTCACCTATAGAAAAGGAACGATTAGTTGCGTGAAGTTAGATGCAGTGACTTGTGAAACTTAAGTTCGACAGCGAAGACCATGAGACAATCGGAGTAGTCTCCCGTGTGATTATTACGCTGCTGATGTTGATGTAGTTCTAACCATAGTTCAGTGGTTGTAATCATTGTTTTCTCCCAGAGTTTCAGAACCGTGATAAGATGACGCAAAATAGTGTAACGACGATTCGCTGGTGAACCTCATCTGTATCTCATCCGTCGTGCGACCCAAAGCCGGCGTATGACGACATTGATCATAGCAATCACAAAAGCCCTTCCAGCCGTCTCTTTTGTGTCACTTTGTTACCAAGAGCGATTAGGCGATATTTTCGGTTTAGACCCATTCATTTTCCAAACACCCTAGCGACGAAAGTATGGTCTACCCAAGAAGAGCCTTTTGGCCGGCAGTAGGCTGTGTTCCGTAATTCATAGGTTCTACAACTAAAGACACCTTCAAGTTAAAGAGAAATACTTGCCGAAGTGGATGCGTCGAATTGATCACTTTGGTGCTCTCTGTGATCGAAGTGGCCGCGGAGTTGATTAGCGATACCGAGACAGCCCGATGAAATACGAACGGTCCCGCGACATCGTCATAGTGGAGGCGGGCCAATTACACTAAATGAGGCTCCCCAGAAGCAAGTGGTGAATGCTGATGTGTGACCTCTGGAGCCTTGGGGCTGCAAGCATGCGAGTGAGGGGGGAAATTGCAGAGTTCGTGCTCGTGAAGATCTTCGAAGTTTTCTGGGAATGCCCTTCGCTGCCTATACGCGATACTTCGAGATAGATTAAGCGTTGAGTCATGTGTAGAACCAATGACTCGTCGTTCAGTGCGTAGGCCCGCAATTGAACTAGAAAGTGTCCCGTTCTAACAGGCTTCTGTATTTTTGCGTGAGAGCCTCACATCGTCATCTAAAACTGTTTTAAAGAGTTGGCTTCATGCCTTGTTCACGCCTGTGCAAGGCGCGCGGCTTCTGACAAGTCTGCCGTCTTGCCGCTGTTGAGTCGCTGCTAGGTCCCGCGTCACTTCGCTTAACCATCGTCACCCGACTCTTATGGCATGGTTGACCTCAAAAATTGCGAAGAATCGCTTTCTCATTTCAATGTTGTTGATGTGGGAAACAGGTAGCAGACTCAAATTTATTTTAATAGATGCTGTTAATGAAGCTTGGACACAATCTCTACCATCAACTCATATCCAAGTCCAGATCCACTTCTCGAGCGCCTGGTTAAACCTTTCCGGGGCAACTTTCATGATCCAACGCCCAACACTTATGATTTCAACCGTGTCAAATTCATCATCAATACCGGCTCCCTCTTCGACCTCCATGCCCGCTTCCGTATTACTCAAAACCAGCCTCGGAATCCCTGCAATCTTCTTTGGTCTCAGATAATCCATGCCACTCAGCCCTTGCGCATCACTCATCTGAACCCACGCAGCAATCATCGCCATCTCATCAGCGCCCCATGTACTGAGCTTGTGCCATTCTTTGATATAATCCGGCGTGTTTGCAGGATATGTAACTTCGTTCTCCCAGAACGAGATCACAGCGCTGTCGAAGTCTTCTTCGAGGGCAGGTATAAGCTCCTCGGTTACCTCAGGAGTCAGGTAATATGAAGGGTCAACTATTACCTGCCCACGAATGAGGTCTGGGTAGCCATGAACTAGCTCGGTAACAACACTGCCACCTAGGCTGTGTCCCATGACGATGGCTTTATTAGAGGCGCTTACACCTAGGTGTTTTAGGAGAGCGGCAGCGTCGTCGGCCATAGTGATTGGGTCCATGACCAATGAACATGATTGGGACAAGGTGCTGCGGCCGTGGCCTCGGAGGTCCATGGTAACGACATTGAAGAGCTGCAGAAGCACAAGAAACATGGTTTGAAAGGCCCAGTCGGTCTGGTCGGCAGCCCAGCCATGGATCAATAGAACGGGGATTCCAGTCGCATTGCCCTGCGTCGTAAAGAAGATGTCCGTGGAATTGAGAGAAAGAACTGCACCGCCGGTCATTGCAGGTCCAATATGCAGAAGACTGTCTACCGTGGGTTGTACGAATTTACCTGGTCGGGCGTTGACTCAACGACTTAGACTTTGTCTGTCATTGTGGAGTAGATACCATTCATATAATGACCATGTACACCTGTACACGAATGGTGGTGAGATACGTCATCAGACCTGGCGTGGACGGTCAGCTACATTCGCAATCCATTGGATCTCGACTTCTCTACCTATGCAACCGGTAAGCAAGAAGCGGGCCAGCATATGAAGAGCATACTGAATTGAGGCTAGTGAATCTGCATTCTTTTGCCGCTAATACCTTGATGCGTCCTTAAAACGCATGCTTCCTTCTCGTATTCTAAAAAGCCAGTGTTTCCTTCTTAGGAAGAATTGCCTTTTTGGGGCCAGAAGTCCTTGATGGATAACGTTATATCGACCGAGAAGATTGACAGTTACGTCAGCGGCGTTAGTTCTTATCATACTTCACCGCTTTTGTTGGATAGACGATGGCGATTTGATGCCGTACATTTGACGCTCATCAATTGAAGGGAGATTATTGGGCTTGATCAAGGCTTCTTTGGCGTACTAAGCAAACTCGCAGTCAAACGTCTGTTTTTCGAACAAACTAGACCCCAAGGCCTGGCTTAATCGAGTATGCTGCCATGCGATTCACTCAAGGATTGTCACTCTTGTCGTGTGGTTTACTTTGAATGTTGTGATCATAAATACTCTCTTAACCACTGGAAGTGGAACGCAGGCTTGAAATTAACTTGATACATGGTCTTGTTACACCTTTTGACATGAGAAGGAGCATTCAGCGCCTGCTACGATGATTGAGCTCGGTGCCGGAACCCAGTCAGGCACGTTCTTGCACTGAATCTCAGGCCCGTACACACCATCGATGATGCCCGACAGGCTGGCGCACGCCTGAATGCGGTCGCCAAAGAATTGCTGAAAGGTGATTTGGCTGAAGCAATCGTTGTAGTCAATATGGCAGTATTTCGCCATACACCCGGCGGCCAGCGTTGGAAGGAGAGAAATAGAAGAGAACTTCACTAGATTCCGCCAAACCCAGTTAGATAAGAGCAAAGCGATGTACTTGAAGTTGACCACTTACTGATGTGCAAACTCGGGAGGTAACGCGAGGAGGAAAATGTTCACTGCAAACTCGTTTCAAAGCTGCGCTGTAGAGGTCGCCAAGTGTCTTGAAAGGATTGGTAAAAGTAATATTGAGTGATGAAATTGAGTGCAACGGAATAGTGCTGAGACAGCTGTTTTATGGCTTCACCCGGATCTCACGGAGGGTTCGAACAAAACGCTTAGCCGTTCGTACTTTTCAATTTGGACTGTTTTCGACGTTAATAAACTAGACGATATAGTTTACCAGGTAGTTCAGTTGTCAATTAACTATAATCATGGGTTCTACCCCGAGCGTTGCCGGAATTTTAGAGTTCAACCAATTCGTCGATTAAGACTTCTTGCGAAATGATCCACCTCTGCAAAACAACAATGAGGCGAAGGTGTAAAACAAAGATGTGGAATGTGGCATGCCAATTTAGGTTTCACGTGGTGCATCCACTGTCAATTGAATTAGATGATCGAACACAGGTTCATAACATGGACCGACTGTTCTCTTGCAAAGTTAAGGTCGTGCGGCAGCCCCGCACTTTGCTTTGAGTTCTAAACCAGCCCAGACAGGTTGAGAACTAACTCAGTTGGCTCACGATGTGCAAGGTAGATCCAGATTTTAACAATTTATGAACAAGATCTCATGTCCGACTGATCCGGTTGAAGTCGACGGCATTGTGCACCTCACGACCTATAAGAATCGAAGTGGTCAGTTTCCACAGGTGTTGAGGTTTGTATGCGCCAGATTCCACGATCACCTTCGACCTATTAAACGCCCTGCATTACGGTCATATTTCTCTCTCCCACAGGTTTTTATCAATATCACAATGTCATCTCAGAAGAGCTTCTTAGCCTTCGCGCTAGCTTCCATCTTCCTGTTTCTGTCTTGCGCCTCCGCCAGCCCCCTACCTATTTCGCCCGATGACGCGGTAAATCTCAAATCTCGTCAATCCGTGTGTCGACCAATTGTTGGCTGCGTCCCATTCTTCAATGCACCCACTTGGAACAGCTTCGAGCTGACCATCCCTGCACCTGGCGACCCCCTCACCCAGGAAGGCCGCTCGGCCGGAGGAGAAGTTGAGGCTTCCGTCTGGAACCGGGCTGATGGCTCCGCCTTCCTTGGCATCCACCTTGGCGATGATTACGATCTTCCTGCGCATGCCGAGATGCAAATTCAAGCCCGGTTCCGGAACACTGATATCAGACTCAACCGCGCCTCCATCGACCTCGAAGGACAGGGCGCGCTCGGCACAATTCCTGCGGCTTCAATTACTGAGTGGAGGCAGGGTAACCGAATTGGCAATACCATCACTCTTACAATTAGATGGAGGCTCAATCAGGATCTTTAATTCTGCCGTCGGATGGGCTTCAGGTCAAGGAGGCTGTAGAGCAGATACCAAAGGCTCCCGGGCTGTGAGACCCTGCGAAAGCATTGTTCTAGCATTGTGCCAACATTGGGGACCGCCACCAGGAGAGGGATATGAGGGAGGAGTGCAGAACTTGAAGTGCTTCTTGTTTCATGAGTCTTGCAAGCATCCACTGCCGAACAAAAGAGATTATTTGCGAGAACTTGAATTGATATCAGCAAAGTTGGCTCCTACTTCATTCCAAGATCATAACGCTGCCTATTCTTAGATGTACACTGCGAATTCAAAACCTTGAAACTTTCTCATTACCAAATTAAGTCTGCTGCTTGCTAGCTGGCGAACGGGGAGTGAATTTAACTAGGAGTCCGGACTGTTTTGCGAACCAATATGTGTTGACTTTCCATTCTGGCTCGCTTGACGCCCACTCTAAGTCGAACTGGCGGAGTACCTGGGGCATAAACTTGCCGACTTCCATAATCGAAATGTTTTTCCCGATACACGTTCTTGCGCCAGCTCCAAACTTCAGCCAGCGAAGTCATATGTTAGCAGTGCCCTTGATCAGCGAATACCGAATTTGTGGTATTCAAGTAGGCAACGATGAAGATAATAAAGACCGTGGGGAAACAATGAACAGAAGACAATGCTGTGACTTACGGTCAATAAGTGCCGATCCATGTTCTTCGCCTGCTCCTCAGAGCAAAGCCAACGCTCTGGTCGAAACTCGTCGGCATCTTGCCCAAATATTTCGTAGTTACGATGAACGACTGCCGCGTTCATGCCCACAACAGTTCCCGCCGGGAGGTGCACTCCGCATAGCTCAACTCCGCCTTCAGGCACTATACGCTCGAGAGGATACGATACACCGGGGTGCATGCGCATGGCTTCTTTGATACACAATTGTCTTTTGCATTTGTGTCAGTATTGATCCATGTACACGAGGGCTCCTATGCTACCGGATGAAAGCATCTCAACACTCACAAGTATTCAAGTTCCAGACTCTCGCTGTACTGTATAACGGGCGACAGCTTGCCGTCCCTGTCGGCCTTATCGATTTCCTGTTGCAATGTTTGGTAGGCATGTTTGCTCTTCAGGAGATAGTAAAATACAGCGCGAAGAGAAATGGCGGTAGTATCACTACCGGCTAGCCTGCAGACCTATGAGTATAACGCGCCTACGACCTAGAAATATCTCTCGGGCCGAGAACTTACAGATTGTTCATTAGATGGTTCATAAGCTCCCACGTACTCATGATGGTGCCGGTGGACTTCTGCTGTTGTCGCAAGTATGCGAGGAAGTCTCGTCCATGAGTGGTGTCTGCCTCTTCGGCGTCGTACTCCTTGATGCCTTCCAACACCATCTACCCAGATAATAAGCCAAACAAGCCTCGCAAATAAGTGGCCAAGGCCACTCTCGCCTAAGTCTGACATACCTTTGTGGAAGTCGCAATGGGATCTCTCGAGACGGGGACTAGTTTAGCAAAGATTCTCCTGAGTGTTAGGTTCCCGAGGAGAAACGGATGAAGAGATGGAATCTGCCCAACCCGGCCGACATAGACAAGTCCAAACTCGATACCTGCAATCATGCCCTTGATGTCTTTACGTTCTTCCATGAAACCGAATCTTCGAGCAAACGAGATGGCGCCGATCACGTCAAAGGCGTACCATTGAACCCAGGTTCCGAGGTCGACAACCTGTCCCTGCATGTCTAACATGGCGTCGGTGAAAATCTGGCTGCAGGGGTCCACCAGATACTCAAGTGTTCGGATCGAGCTCATGGAGAACTTCTGGGCAACCGGCCGCTTCAGTGCCTTGTGCTCTTCGGGATCGGTGGTGGAGAACATGCTAGGCATGTTTTTGCCCTCGAACGCCATTGAAAGAGTATGATAAAACGCAGACTGTCATATGAACATCAATTCGTCATACACCGTCCACCGCAAATGCACGAACCTTGAGAAATTTGCTGCCGATGCCATATATAGTAAACATGGCGGACGGATCCGAGATATCAACGACGTTCGGGGCAGTCCGTACGATTGGTCCATGCTTTGCATGGAGCTCGCGGTATCGTTCATGAGCCTTTCCATTCCACACGAACATCATTCTCCAAATAGGGCTATATCTAGCAATCCACGGGCCGGGTATCTGACGAAGGCCTGGACGCAAGGCGCCGAGTATCGAGATGGCGACAAAGTACAAGATAAATGCCCCAAGAAGGGCCATGTACTTGCTGTTGAAGAAGCTCATGTTGGAAATAGGCGCTCGCCACTGGAAATCATGTAAAGATGTAGGCTTGGATGGTATATTGTGGCTCGGGTGAGATTTGAAGAGGATACATGTACCCGATAGTTGAAATCACAAGAGAGTCCAAATGCTTGAATTTAAAGATGCCAATGCTTTAGGACATCAGGCAGCGGCCCTTCGGCATGACTATCACTTTTCCTGAATTGACTTGCTTGCGTCCTCGCTGTATTCATGTGCTTGAGATGTTCTGGTGGAGTCGGACAAACTCACACGATCCATGAATACTGCCTTTGGTCCAAAGGACAATCGGAAAAATGTGAAAACTCCGGTGCCCATGAGCCACCCCGCAGTAAACGCTTGAGCCTCCAATTACAGTTTCATGGAGTTCTAGGGTCTATCTAGAGTTGTACCTATAGCTTCCAATTAAAATCCAGTACATTATTCAATTATCTGGGCTGACTGGGCTGACTGGACTGACCTTATGGATGGATATGATCTAGTACTATGGCCGTAGAGTTTGAGCTTCTTGAGGCAGTCGAAGCGGGGCAGGCCAGCATCGACCGGTAATTCTCGTCGATTGAGATTTGAAGGGATGGGCCGGAAGGCGTAGTTAGTCTTAACTCCCCGCTGGCAAGTAGCAGGTCAATATACATGTGAAATTTGTGTCATTTGTGACGTCTCGCATTCCGCTTGAGTCTGTGGTGTTTCGCCTGTCAAGAGCTCAGCTTCTCCCTGAAACTGTGTTGGTCGTCGAGATGCTGTTGCTAGGGTGGTCTGGCCCAAGCATGGCAAATTGTCACATTGCGACTGAAACTATCGCAAAGTCCACATCCTGTGAAACCCCGAAAATTACGTAAACTATCAAAGAAAAATAAGCTCATAACTCATCTACGGAAGGTGGTCCTCGATATAGTCCGATAATGTCTTCAGTGCACCACGAGAATATCCTGCCCCAGACCCACTAACATGACCGAAACCGGGGACGGATGGTTGGCTAAGATGCCCCTGTTCCAGCACTCAAAGGCCCCCACGCTGAGTGGTTACCCCAGACTTTCCAACTTCCCGGAAACAAACCCCTTCAACAGGCCAGCCAAACCTTCGTCATCGCAGACAAGCCCTCTCGAGCAACTGCTAGGACAACATGAGTTGATTCTCTGCACAGGAAAGCGAGGCAAGGATTGCATTCAATGCCACCGGCATCCGCCAGTCGGACCGGCGCGTGCCAGCGCTGTCACCGCAGAAAGGTCCGATGCGACCGTACGAGGCCGTCATGCGCGCCGTGTGCCAGGATCAACGCGCAATGCACGTATGCAGCAAGGGAGCACCAGATTGAGCTACGACGCCAGGATGTCGAGAGACTTGAGCAAAAGATACGAGACCTTCAAGCCGAAAATGATGATCTATCCGGCAAGCTGGCTGAGGCTCAGCAAGAGCGGCACGAGGAACGAGCAAATAGCGGAGACAGGCTGGTGACCCCTGCCACATCATCAAGCCTCGGTTTGCAAACAGAGGAGCAACGAGCCCCTGCCGGCGGCAATGAAATTGCCAGCCAGGTCATTCATCTGTCACTCAGTGCTGGGGGAGGGAGAGACTTCGTCGGATCGACAAGTGGACTGTTCCTTGCCAATCTGCTTCAGCCACACAGTCAACCTGCCGCGCCATCTCAACTCGTAGCCGGCCAGCCTCCGGGATTCACATCGAACAGCGATGGCACAACGGGAAGCTTGGTTCTCAATGCCGCTTCCAGCCTGCCACCAAGGGCCATGGCGACAGAGATCGTGAATGCGTACTGCAGCCATGACCGACTCTGTTACCCTTTCTTGTCCCCAAAAGCACTAGACAAGGCGTTGGATGCTGTTTACGAGGCAAGAAATCCCGACTCTATCAGCCCTGTCGACGGCTTCCTTGTCGATATGACCCTCGCGATCGGCACGGCACAAGTCTACAAGCTCAACTGGAATGGTATCTGGGACGCCGAGGTCCATTACAATCGAGCTCTGAAGCGTCTTGTTGATGTTCTCGGTCGGGGTGGGATTACGGCGCTTCAGGCGCTGCTTCTCATCTGCCAGTACAGAATGGGGACGACGTCCCATGATACGAGCACGAATGTCTGGCACCTCATCGGATTGGCGGCACGGACATGCTTCGAACTTGGCCTGCACAAGTCGTCAACTTACACCTTACCCCGAGATGGAAATGAGACGGAAGTAGAGGCGAGACAAGAAGACCTGGAGATCAAGCGAAGATGCTTTTGGAGCGTTGTCTCTATGGACCGTATTGCCAGCATGATTCTTGGGCGACCACTCGCGATTCAGTTGGATGACATCGACACAGAGCTTCCTTACTCGGAGTCGACTACGACTAGTGTACCAATTCATGGTCACTTGTCTACAGCTTCATTCGGGACCCCAGAGTGGCATCTGGGCACCCTCATATTCGCCCACATTGTGCGATACCGACTTATCTGCGGGAAGATCCTGAATTCACTGCACCGAAGCACGATCAGCAGAGAAACCAACAACACATATGAGAGTACCCGAGAGACTTTAGCCGAGGAGCTCCAGACATGGCGTGCGGGGACTTCTAGCCTCCCACTCATTCCCGCTGACGCACCCCTCGCATCTCCAGCTGGGAGGTCTAGCTTCCGTTCCGCGGAGTGGTACGAGCTCTTATACCACAACGGCATACTCATGCTGTTCCGACCCTCCCCATCCATTTGCGATGCCTCGCGAAATAGCAACGTCTTGCAGCACATGTTCGACTCATCGCAAGAGGCAATCAAACTTTACGCCAACTTACATCGATCTAGAAAAATCAATTACTCATGGGTCACTCTTCATTCCATCTTCATAGCTGGTCTGTCCTATATCTACGCCCTGCGAAATCATATCCAGCACATACAGAACCGGTCTCAGGGCAGTGCAAATGTCGCTAATGCAACCCTTGGTTCGACCCCATCTATCAGTCAGGTTGTCAACGATACTCGTGCCTGCTCCAAGGTCTTGGTCGCTCTCTCCGAAAGATGGGCCATGGCACGGAATTGCTCCGAGGTTTTCGATCGATTGAGTGACGCCGTTGTAGCGGACGTGGTAGAAGCACAAAGTGGACAGACGTCGGCAACGACTAGTTTGTCATTCTCCAATCAGTCCGCAGATGTCGGCCACATATCCCAGCCCGTGGATATGAATCTCACAGATGCCATGTATGGGCACGAGACAAATCAGAACTTCGTCAATATGTCGGTCGACGACACGCTACGCGACTGCTTCGGGGACTTGCAGAACATCTACTATGATCAGTACCATAGTGATGCGATCGCCCAACTGTCACAAGAGTGGCTTTTTGGATTAGGGGAGACCCCAAGTCGGTACTTCTGAGACTGAACAATGGCGGTATGCCACGATTGGATAGCTATACAACATAATACAATCTAATGATCTATATTCTCCGTCATATCCTTCCTCGCTGGAGGAACGCCTTAGGAATATCGACATATCTACTTCGCAAGTACTCCGCGATTCCCTTCCCCAACCCGTCGATTCTATCTGAAGAGGCGATGCCACCGTTCAAGTTATCCAAAATGCGGCTTAAACGTTGTTAACTATTGATCCACTTTCATGGTTGAAAGGTACTCACAAGTGCACGGCGTTAATGCCGGGGAACTCAATACGTTCCACACGTCTGTTGGGATTGATCTTGTACCAATCATCACCAAACAGCTGTTTCAACCGCGTCACAGTCAATAATGACCGCAGCCAAGCATATTCATCTCGATGCCGGACGAAAAAGCCGACGTTGGAGTTGTCAGCCTTGTCGCCAGACCGAGCATGGACTATGCTACCCAGCGGAGCAAATTCTGTCGGACCCAGAGATATCAGTTCGATGGGTTCGGCGGTGTCGGCTGACGGCCGGACAACCTTATACTCGGCCGTTTCTTTCGGTGATGGAACTGTTATCAACTCTCCGGTCCCCAATAGAACACGATGGTCGATGGCCGACTGCGGTATCAGCGCAGGGAACATCTCCATGAACGGTTTCGGATCCATCGTCCGGAAGTCGAGAGACATGTGGTACCCCGGATAGCTCTGCATCCTCACGGCGTAGATAGGGATTTTAAACTTCACCGCCGCGATGTCTTCCTTTGTTCTCGCTTGCGCAAACACCCGGAGCTGGACTGTCCCAGCCTGCTGCGAACTGGGATTCTGCACCTGAGTACCATACTGCTCCATGCTTAGTCGGCTGAAGTTGCTGTCTTTGAACATGTAGGTCAACTGGTTCTTCATCATGGTTACCTTCTCATCAACATCCAAGCCGTTGATGTAGAAGGTGGCCTCAGCTTGATAACCTCCCTCTGCAGCGAACATGACTTTCGTCGTTGGTGGAGGCGGCAGGCCCTTCACGCCCCAGACACGTACTCGGTCCTCCCCGAAGCCTGTTTGCTCTTCAACATGAACCCCGGACAGATCTCCTACCACATCTGGGTTGAGGTAGAGATGCCCCTGGAGCTCATATAGCAACTGCGCCGTTACTGTGTGCTTGGTGACATGACCACCGCCTTCGGCAGTTCTGCTTATGACGCATTCACCGTCTCGACTGATCTCGGCAATGGGGAACGCCAAGTCCACGAGCTCGGGAAGAAATTCTTTGAAGCCGGAGAAGTTCGCGCCCACGACGTACGGTCCACATTCAATCAGATGAGCGGCCAGCAATGCGCCGGCAAGCTCTTGGTACTGATCTTCCCGCCAGCCGTAGTACCACGCAGCAGCACCCATGACCGGCGACGCGTCCGTACACCTTCCAGCAACGACGATGCGCGCGCCGGCTCTCAGTGCCTCGACTATTCCCCAGCAGCCGATGTAAGCATTGCCACAACAGGGCTCGAAGCTCCAGTCGTTGAGGGTGATCTCAGGGTGATCGAGATGAGGAAATCTCAAGTCTTGCTTGGTGCCTTCAAGAAGACCAGACACATCATCGCCGAGAACCGCTGCGACAACGCTCTCGGGGTATCCCTTTCTCCTGCACAGCGCCTTGACCTTCTCGAAGAGCGCCGTGGTGTTCAACGCGCCAGCGTTTGTAACCACCCTTATATCCCTCGTCATTATATCATCGATGCAGTCTTCGAGCTGCTCGTAGAAGCCGTTCTCGTATCCGAGGTTCGGGTCGACGTCGCGTTTGGTGATGGCGTTCCAGGCGATGTTCATCTCTGAGAGCCAGTCGCCGGTGATGACTTGGACATTTCCGGAGCGCACCATGCGCGCCATCGCGTGTGGATGGTCTCCTGTTGCGCCGGAGACATTTCCGATACGGATTGGAGGTTTTTCGATCATGGTGTACACGAAGATGTGGGTAAGAACAAGATAGAGGATGAAAAACAGATGGGTCAAGCTCTACGGCTGGAGCAGCATCAATGGTGCTTTGATATGTGTTCCTTCAATACTGCAACATGGTATCAACTACGGATATCTTCGGATCTTCGTACAGACGACAAGGATGATTAAGGGACAAAAGTCCACTTCACCACTCTCACATGCGGCCGATTGCGGACTGAAGACCGAGCCAAGCAACGCAGAAGCGCCATCGGACAGGTTCCGATTGCGAAGTGCTTGGGAATACCCTAAGATGCGGCTCATGAGCTGCATATCCGGGGCATTTGCCGCGAGACCTTGCGTGAGTCTAATCCTTTTCATCAGCCTGCAAACACCCAAGTTTCTACACCAAGCGGCGTGAGACGCCGAGACAGCGGCGCGGCCCCAAGGCCGAAAACTACTCCACAATTGTCTCTTCCAGCCCCCCAACATTTTGCCATTCAGCAACCGGCAAATGCACCAAGCATGTCTTTCCATTGCAACATGATTGGGCCGGTCGCGGAGACGCGGATAAGGACTTGCGCCTCTGGTCCACCTCCAGTGTCCCGATCCACAGGAACTGCGGGGGATGAGGGGGCAAGTTGGGGGAACGGCGCCTGGGCAGTGATCCTCTGGCGCGTTGGAGGGAGGTGACCGCTCCTTGTTTCTGTGCATCCTTTTCGGCCTTCGGCGCCGCAGGCCGAGGCGACGGCTTATCGACTTCCCAACACCTATCTACCGTCACTTTGGAGCAAGAATCCCCACTGAGTGCATGCGTGTGTTGCATTTCTCTCCACACAGATATCTCAAGCCAAGAATGCCAAATCCGGGGTTGTTTGCGGGGAAGAGCCCCCCGGTGCTTGGAAACAAATACATGCGCTCTCCTTCGTTGGTTTTGGGATGCGACGTCGTCTTGTCATCTGTAGCTCTTGAGCTTTTCTTCGTAACTTGAAAGTCGTCCCTGGCATAGCCTGCGACGAAGATGGCGAACTCTACGGACCCGAGGCCAGAGAGCCATGTCGAGCAGCCAGTGGCTGATATCGAAAAGCAACAAGTTCTGCACCAGGAACACTCTCATGTCGTGGACGATGACAAGACAGTCGCGCCGGCAGTTGATTACTCTGGAGCCACCGCAAAGACAGACCCCGAAGAGATCAAGCTCGTCAAGAAGTTAGATCTCTGGGTTATGGTCAGTTAACGCACCCTAACACGCCTCAACTTGTAATCTAACAGAGGCACAGCCAACTCTTTGGTTGATGTATTGGCTCAAGTAGGTCAACATCTACCACCCTTTCATTCTGTTTTCCGCTTTCCGCTAACCACTAACCGCTAAGCTACCTTGACCGTAATGCAATCGCCCTTGCTCGCCTCAACGGCCTCGAAAAGCAACTCGGTCTTTCAAGCGTCCAGTACTCAACCTCCGTCTCCATCTTGTTCGTCGGCTACATCCTCGGCCAAATTCCGAGCAATATGGTCTTGACTCGAGTTCGCCCATCCTGGTACATGGGCGGCTTCATGATGGCTTGGGCCGTCGTGAGCGCTCTGACAGCTGTTGTCCACGATTACAAAGGTCTCGTCCTGACGCGATTCTTCCTCGGCGTTGTAGAGGCTCCCTACTACCCGGGAGCCTTATACATTCTGTCCATCTTCTACACGCGCAAAGAGCTTGCAACGCGAATCAGCGTCCTCTATTCAGGGAATATTCTTGCAACAGCCTTCGCTGGCCTAATTGCAGCGGGAGTTTTCAATGGCATGGATGGCACCGCCGGGCTCGCGGCCTGGCGTTGGCTCTTCATCCTCCAAGGCGCAGTCACGTTTGCGATCGCGCTGGTGGCGTGCTTCACCCTTCCCGACGAGCCCCTGACAACCCGCTGGCTGACCCCTGAACAACGACAACTTGCCCACGCCAGAATCGCACGGGATACCGTGGGTGTGCGTCTGCAGAGCAGCACTTGGGGCGGCCTCAAGGAAGCCTTCGCCGATCCCAAGGTGTGGGTGTTTATCTACATGCAGCATATGCACCTTGCCACGAACGGCTTTAAGAACTTCTTCCCCACCATCGTCGAGACGCTCAACTTCAACACTACGATTACTCTTGTTCTCACGTGCCCACCATACCTTATTGCTGGAGTTCTGTCTATCGTCTGGGCTTGGTCCTCGGGTAAGCACAACGAGCGTACCTGGCACATTACCATCTCAAAGGCTGTTGCACTGTTCGGCTTCGTCTTGGCCTGTGCCACGATGAACACGGGAGCACGTTACTTCGCGATGGTTGTCTTTACAGTAGGCACGTACGGAGTGAACAGCATCTTGCTAGGTTGGGTTGGAAGCACGTGCGGACAGACGAAGGAGAAGAAGGCTTCGGCGCTGGCCATCGTCAACACGAGCGCAAGCATCAGCTTCATCTGGACTCCGGTAAGCATTATTTATAGTAACGGAAAGAAGATGCCGTCCACTGACATCATGGCTTTAGTACTTGTGGCCAACATCCGACGCCCCAAGATACGTCATTCCGATGGCCAGCAGTGCCGCCTTCTGTGTAGCTTGCGTTGTTGGGGCATGGCTTATGAAGGGGATGCTCGTAAGGGAGAACAGGAAGATTCGGGCCACTGACCAGGAGGCGAGGCTGTTTTATGCTTATTAAAGCTGATATAAGAGGCGTCATGTGATGAGAATACCAAGCATTCGGCGGTGGTCGGGGCATAGATGTCAAATAGCAGTGAATAACAAACTAACTATGGTTTCAACCTAAATTAGATCTGGGAGGCGTTGCCTTTTCCACATCTTCTGTCTATAGCGTTCATGGTACACAGTCAAAACTCCTTGAAAGTCCCAACCCAAGTCCCGCCTTTCTATCTACCCAGAAGTTGAGCTGTTCTATCTTTGAGTTGCTAGACTATAATGAGACCAATAGTTCAGTATGAGCTTCGTCAAAAAGAAACCGCAGCAAGCCCTTGCCATTGTCGCAGGAGTGGGAATAGAAGCGTACCCCAGGACTGGACCCTATTGAGGGGCTCCAAGGACCTTGGGCCATTTGGCATAGTCCACGGGTTTGATTGAGGGAAGGTCTTTCCAGTTGGCCTTGCAGGTGACTTTCAAGTCCATACCCTTTCCAGAAAGCAGGTATGTCGGGATCAGTAGCTGCTTGGTTGGCTCATAATTGCCGATTTGTGAAAGGCGTAAGACATTATCGAAGTCGAAGTTCTTGGTCGTCTTGGTGAACGTCTTTTCCGCCCACGTATACATCCCTTGGATATTCCACCAGTATTGCTTGGGGACCCAGACTTTCGGGATCGAATCCACAGTTGACTTGCGGGCGGTAATGTGGCAGTACCTGCATATGACGATGCGGTCAGGACGGTTCCTTGATATGAGGGTACAAGTATGACTTGAGGGGTCTACTTACCAGTCTCCTGGGTTGCCCTTCCACTCGGCTGGGCCAGGTGTGGTGTAGACGCCGACGCCAATCTGGTTTCCTTGAGCCTTTGCAGGGTCGAAGGTGATTCTTCCTTTAACTTTATACTGCTTGGCTTGCTCCTGGATATATAGTCAGTTGCTGAGTTAAACTGTCACGGGCTAGAGCCCGGATTGATATCTCCGGCTTCGCCGGAGCAGTTACCGAGATCCGGCTCCGTTGGACCCACTATTCTGCCGCAGTACGCCGCCTAACCCGGCCTGCTTCACCGCTGTTAGGTGCCTACCCTTG